CCAGTCAGGGATCCAGTACCACCTGCAAACACACAGAGGAAAACTTACTGTGTGTGTATTACCTAATATCATCTTTTTATCAGTTTTAGTGAAATGACATTAAGTTGTTCTGTTGGTGCCTGGGTGAAAGGCTTTTCTGATGCAGATCTTCATTCAGTCTTGAATTCATGCAGCAGGAGAATCAACAACCTGACTGGACAAAACAGATTTCTAAGAGGCACAAGTTTGAAATTCCCTGTGTCACAATATGCAAAGATGTGAAGCAAAAACACCTTACAGAGAAGGGAAATGAAGTTCTGCCCTGTTCCTCTTTAAGACAGTTTCACATCCTCATCAGTTTATTGTACTTTGTATGATTGGATGTTTCCATGAAAATGGTTTTAATGACCACTGTGTAACACCAGTTCGCTTGTTAAGTCAGGTTTACTAGTATAGCTCAAGTCAATTCAAAGTGCTTTGCACAATAAAAACACAAACAAACAGAAAACCTATTGCATTGCATTGGCAAAATAAAGAGAAGTAATGAAGAGTTGGAATCCAGACTAATACGAATGATGTTGCAGTTGTTATTAATCAAAGGCGGCTATAAACAAATTGAGTCTTGGTCTTGATTTAAAGGAATTCAGTGTTTCAGTTTTCTGGAAGTTTGTTCCAGATGTGTGGTGCAGAGAATCTGAATGATCCTTTTCTCCATGTTCAGTTCTTAGGATGCAGAGCAGAACCAGAACCAGAAGATATGAGAGGTCTGAAAGGTTGATACTACACCAGCAGATTTTTAGTATATTGTGGTACTAAGCCGTTCAGTGATTTATAAACTAACAACAGTATTTTAAAATCTATTCTCTCAGGGAAAGGACTCTAGAACTAGGTGATCTGCTCCATCTTCCTGGTTTTAGTCAGAACGCCAGCAGCAGCGTTCTGGATCAGCTGCAGTGGAGGGTTGATTTTTATTTTTTTAGACAGACGAGTGAAGACGCTAGCTAAAGATAAACACATGGATGAGTTTCTCTAGATCTCGCTGAGACATTACATTAGTCCTCTAATTCTTGAAATGTTCTTCAGGTGATAGAAGGCCAACTTCGTAACTGTCTTCATGTGGCTCTGAAGGTTCAGGTCTGAGCCCATCACTACACCCAAAAGCATGATTAATATAGACCTGCACCAATTTCAGTGCAGGTCTATATCCTGTGGAAGGAGCCTGTGGCAGCTGCAGAGACCAGGAATTACCTTATGGTATTATCCACGTAGCTCCAAATGCCGCTGGCCAGACTGGGAAGTCCAGTCACAGATAACGCTCTCTTCACAATCCTGGAGAGAAGAGGTGGAGAAGGGGAGAGATCACTGAGCAGGTACAGGAACACTGGGAACAACATGAGTTAAGATCAGGTTCCTACTATAAATGAGTTCTTAAAGATCAGAAGGGGTGCACCAATAAATCAGCTGGTCCATAAATCTGCACCACCTTTTTAAGTTTTAATTTTGGAAGATCTATGATCAGCAATACTTACATGACTAACATGACAATCATATCCACTGATCTTATCTACCTCTGCAAAAGTCAGAAAATCAACTACTGTCCCAGTTTGCTCTGCTGTGAGAGAGGACTGACTGACACACTCACTCACCCACCACATCACGTCTGAACGAGAGCAAATAACAACAGTCAACACTGGGGGCTTTCCAGCAAAATGACTCCCTGTGTCACAAGGCTGGCGTGACAAAGTGGCTAAAAGATCAGAACATTGCTCAGAAAATGTGGGACCAAGAACTCCAAGAACTAGAAGACAAGAATGGGTCCATCGCTATCTGACAGGATTGGATCCACAAGTTCATATCTAGCATGCTGGAGAGAATTCTGGGAATCAGAAAGAGCAAGGAGCAAAGGCAGAAATATTCACTTTTTATGTAAGTTATATAGGACAGTTATTAGTCATTAAGTTAATCGCCTGAAATATGAAAAACAAAACAAAAAAAATCAGCAGCTATCACTTCTTTAATTTGCCAATGATTATGTTTTTTTTCTGTGCATGTTCTGGTGATTGGATTTGCTCACCAGAAACAACTGATAGAAAAAAATGACTTTTTTTTTTACTCTGAAACAAAACGAAACAAAAGGATTAAAAGCAGATGAGTCAGATGAGTCAAAATGTACAATTTTGGCCGTTGGATTATTATTAGTTTTTTTATTTTATTTGTTACGTTTAAACTAAAAATAAGAATCACCTGCATACATGTAGCCTGTTCTCTTCAGACAAAGCACCTCAGGTTGTTTTGGATAGTTTTTCTCCACATATACCTATAGCAAAATGAACACTGCTAAAATTCTGATTAGCTCTGATAAGAGTTTAAAGCAAATTATTATGCCTGTCGATAACACCATTACCATTTATGGTCAGTGACGTCAGAAGTAAACATACAGGGAGCGCACATGTAGTGTGGATGTTGACAGAATCTAAGGGAACGAGCCGATTTATCCTGGTTTTAAATACAAAAATAACATCAAACTAAATGTAAATTTTCAATTTCATGCTTTGTATTTTAACCAAAAAATAACTGATTTTATTTTATTTATTTTTTTATTTTTTGTAGTTATTCACTTCTGGTTTATTAAAATATTTATAACAATAACAAAAACAGGCAAATGCATTGCATGGACCGGACCGGACCCGGCGGCTAACAACCTATGAAGTAAACCTTCAGAGGAGAACTTAGAGTTCTGGTCCATGAGAAACAGGTCAGTGACAGCCGGAGGGGGGCACCTGGGGGCTCCAGCTGGAGCTCTTCACCTGAACTCTTCAGGTTTAACTTGTTGCGTTTTTTATCGCAACAAGCAGAACTTTAAAACAGAACCACACGGAAACCTTCAGAGCGGTTCGGAAAAATATGTTAATCAAATTAGAACATTCTGCACTGACAGCAGAAACTTACCCACTGTTAGCCGTCTCCTCCCGCTCCGCCATACTGTAGTTGCTGTCACGTGACTCTCACCGACGCTGACGTACCTCAGTCAGACTGTGGCCGTTAGATTTGTCGGTCGGGTTAACTCCGCCGGGCGGCCATGCAGCCTCCTCTTCTCTTGTAGTTAGCCACACTGGTGGTTTTCATCTTGGCTGAAAAAGGAACACATCCTAAACTGACAGCTGAGTTTTGCGGAAGTGGACTTTTATGTTTCCAACCCTGCAAACTACTGAGGAGGAATAAGGACTGTGGTGAGTGTTTCAGTGGGATCATCTGATCAAATTAGGAGGAGTTCTGGGAGTATGAGTGACGCTTTCAATGCCTCATTATTAGAGCAGTTCAGAAGTGACGGTGAAAGATCGGTAGCATTAACCCGTCCCCGTCCTTGTCCACGTCCACGTCCATGTCCTGCCTCCAGCTGCAGATTCCTCTGTTGTCAGTAAATGCAGCTTTTAAAAACGACACCTAACTGAATTATCTAGACGGGCAAAATATTGTAGCACAGAGCTGGAGTTTGTTTGTTTCTTGCTCTTTACCTTCACATGGTTACTTTTGAAATTAGCGACTTCTTATATCCTCAGTTCACTTACATTTTTCAATCCTGGTAAAATAGGGAATCACTGCAATCAAAAATAGGACGTGGAGGAAATAGTTTTACTATAAATAAATAAATAAATAAATAAAAATTATTTATTTATTTATTAATTTAAAAATATATTTGTTTACAAATACAAAGACAGAATAAATGGAACACAGAATATGTAACTTTGTTTTAGGCATGACTTTACAGAGTAAGTAGAGATGTGAGGTCAAAAGAATTTAACCTTCATATTTAGGGTTCATGACCACATCTTTTCTTAAGGTCACTTGTAAATTGTGACAACTTTCAGGAGGAAGCCAATCCTTTTCCCTCTCTGAGGGGCTCACTCTCCTCTCAGACTGTGGCTCTAATTGCCTCAACATTTCATCCTACATTTTATTCAACAATTTCATTTGAGCTCTGTTTCCCAAATATTTGGAAAAATAATTTTCCAAAATATAAATGTGCACATTTATATTTATATTTATATAATTTATGTAATTTTTGTATTCTTACTTTACTCAACTTTCTCCAAGAGATCTGCTTCCATATTTTTCCAGGTGAATAATAATAGCAGTAGTAGTGATGATGATGATGATGATGATGATGATTATTATTATATATACAGAATATATATAATATTCTTCCCCTTATATTGATTTTCATGTTAGTTTTATGTTATCAAATGTATTACAGTTTTATTTGTTTTTGAAGTAATTTTCCACACATCCTCTGTCCACAGTACAGAGGAAAACATAGGAAAAGTGAGATTATTGATGCATCATTTAAATTCTGTTATATTAAATCAAGGATTGAATCAAATGTTATTCGCAATAGAAAGAAATAGACAATATCAATGAGTACTTCAGTGATTTTCTTTTAAGTGTGAGTGAATGTGAAGCAACATTTCTAAAAAATAATTTTATTTTCCAGCATTAGTTGGCTTCATTAATAGTAATCAGACAGGTAGTATGCAGAGGGAGACAGAGGAAGAACGTTCAGCAAATATCAGGTCAGTTATCGATCTGCATACTGCTGTACTGATGACTAGTATGAAACAGCTGCTCAACATCAAAACACTTTCATGGTCAGCTGATTCCAGCAGGGGGCAGCATAATGACTGGAACCTTCTGTGTTTTATCTTTTTTTAACTCAGGGAGCCATCAGCTGAACTAATCTGATAGTCACACAACAGGTTGTGGGCTGAGAGCCCAACAGCTGAAATCCACACAGCGTATACACACACACACACACACACACACACACAGCTCCTTGAATTTCTGACCAGGCTTTTCACAGGTCAGCCTGACTCCAGCTCTGAGATCTACTACACAGTAAGGTCCGTGTGTTTACAGAGAAGCTGAGATAGGACTGAATCAGTGTGTAGAGCCACAACTATTAATATCCTGCTGTGAAGAGGCTCCGCCCTCCAACTGTCTGTCTGTATGTCTGTTTGTCTGTCTGCTTCTGTCAGGGTCAGTCTGCTCTGCTGAACTCTTTCCTTTCAGTTTCTGCTGAATGAAGCGTGTTCAGCACCACATGGGTGGAATAACATGTAGAAGTTCTTCCGGAGATTAAAATATCAGTTTATTCCTGAAAGTTCTCCGTGATCAGCGTCCACCTGACACACCTTAGGTAGGAATGGCAGAGAGATTTCGTGAACATTTTCCTTTGACTTATCTGGATGAACTTCCAGCAGCAACTGGTCTGGGCAAGCACAAGATTTTTTCTTTCTTTTACATTTCAGGATGTTATAGCTTGTCTTTTGCATACATTTGCATTTGTTTATAGCGCCCCCCTGTCCTGTCGTGGTCTGCTATAATTGAGGATTGTTTTGGTTCATTCACACCTGATAGTCCAGTAGACTCAATTGGGGACCAAAATTGCAGTATTTGTTCCATTTTCAGCTGCTGTGGTTCTGTTTCAAAAAGCTCTGTCAGTCCGCTTTAGTCAAACTCTGGTTTGGTTGCTTAGAAAGTCTGGTTTATTTATGGAGGTGTGAATACGTAATCCAAGACTGACTGGGATCAAAAAGTGAACTCTGGTGCAGTTTGAATGCATATATGAACGCCAAGCAAGCCAAAGACTGCTCCAAAAGCAGGAAGCAGACTACAGCATTCTGGGTAAATATAGCCAAAACATCCTGTGAGCCTAGCACTAGAAAAAATGCCTTCTGTTCTTTTACCAAAGACAAAAGAGAAATCTTCCAACTGCTAAAATCTGATGCCACTCCATTTTTGTTTAGAAAGTTGTTCCTAATGTCTTATTAAGAGGATTTTGAGTAGTTTCCCTCAGTGGTTCTTGGTACAGCGGCCCATGGGTGAGGAGGTGAACAGGTTTTTCAAAGGTTTTGTTTCATTTGACCACAGCAGCTGAAAAGGGAACAAAAGTTGGAGTTTTGGTCCTCAGTTGAACTGAGGCTACCGGACTATCACCTGTGAAAACATCCTTAATTTCAAACTGTTGATTCGTCCCAGTTTAGTGCCATGCTTTTTGAAATAACTAATCTCATTGCTGTTTCTGCTGCAGGAGCTCCAGCCGATGGGACAATGCAGCAGTCAGATGACAGCGGTGCTCCCTCCTTTAACCCTCTAGTGGTGCTGGAGTTGATCTCTGACACCAAGGAGGAGGCCATCGCCTGGCTGCTGAGCAGGATCAGAACCCCACAGCAGGCTGGAGGTGTGACAGTCAGGTAGTAGTTGCTCTCCATTAGATTCCATATCGTTGCTAACATCCTGTCTCCCACTCAGGTGCTGGGTTATTGATGGAGCAGCTGGGCCCTGGAGTCAGTGCTGAGCATAAGGACAACCCCAACCTGTTTCTGGTGGGGGCATCCTGGGAGAGGCTGCTGTCTGGAGCTGAGGATGTGGGCCTCTTCAAGGAGTACAGTGACGGCTCCATGAGAGGCTTCACCTGCACCAACAAGCACAACTTTAAAGACTTTCAAGGTCTGCTTTTAGCACAACATGAACACAACACTAGTCCTTTTCAGCCTCCAACCAGATTGTTCTTTGAAGCAGAGGTTACCCTTACAGAAAGAGAAGCGTCTTCCTTGTCCATCACTTTTGTTTGTGAGTGATGCTTGTGTGTCAGATTTACAGAAGTACCAGAAACATGCAAGTATGAAAGTTCCAGTTCAGGACTTTTGTATGTAAAAAAATACAATCAAATAATGTGATTAAACTTTGTTAAAAATGTTTAACTCCTTAAAGTCAATCAAATTAATTAACTGAGATGAAAGCGTTAAGGTCACAACCCTAGTTTTCATGTTTCAAACAAGCAGTTGTCCCGTTGCCAGAGTTACAGCAGCATTATGACAGACGCAGTCAGACACCTCAGAGTTTATTAGATACTCTGCTTCAGTAGGACAAATTCAGATGATCACCAGAGCCCCCCAAAAACATACACCCAATGTGTTTCATTGTAGTTTTATGGTAGTGCATTATACTGAAGTGGAAAGAAAAATGATCTTTTTCTGGCTGCAGGACGCTTGGAGTCTGTCTCTACTGGTACTACTGCCGATGTTTGTAAAACTGCTCAAAAATCGCCAAGTTAGAGTAGATTGAAAGCATCAGTACAGCAGCTTTCTATCCTTACAGATTCTCAGTGCATGTAGGTCTGGACTTTGAGTAGGCCATTGTAACAAATGCTTCGGTGTAACAAAATCCGTAGTAGCTCTGGCTCTGTGTTTAGGGTTGTGGAAGATAACCCTTCTCTCCAGTTTCATCTTTTCTGTAACGCGTCCCCACTCATCCCCGTCTCAAGCTGCTGCAGAACCGCTGGTCCACACAAAGGAAACCATCTGTGATGTTTTTACCTCTAGGGGATGGAGACGGCTTCCTGAGCATGGCTGAGTGTCAGTACATCATCAAACATGAGCTGGAGACACTGAGAGCCAAAGATGAGACTCACGTACCCGGATACAGCAACGCCAAGCTTTATCCAGGAAAATCTATCAGTGAGTGTCTGACTGCGTTGTTTCAGCTTCTGCTTCTGTTTCAGCATTTCACTCAAACATCAGACATTCATATTAATCTGTTAACACGTTGTTCTCTTGGATTTCCAGGAGTTTTCTCATCTAACTGTAGGACTTTTCTACTTTAGGAGATTTTCAGTCTTTTTAAATGACTTTAAGCATATAAATCAGTCAGTCGCTCACTACATGTCAGAAACTAGACTAACCTTAGTTTATCAGTAAAATTAATTTCACCTGAAGTGAATATTTAACCTTCCTATTTTGTTTAAATAGTCGCTAAGTTTAAACAAAACTTAGCGACTGTCTTTGACAGTTTAAACTGTCAATTATGCTCAACGTCTGTTTGAGCATAATTGTGATACTGAGGCAGAAAGGAGGGTTATTAAAAAATGGCCTGTTTGTTAATCTACTAAACTGAAGCTCAAATTAACCAACATCCAGGCCTTTTTAACTAAGAAACAATTATTACGACAGATAAACAATTGTCCTGTTTTGGCGTGATGAAAACAATGAATATGCAAACATTCCGTAATAACCTCAGAGAGAGATACTTGGCAGCCTATCTGACAAATAGTCCGTTAGCAGAATGTCATCATTTTCTATAAATGACTCATTATTTGAGCACAACAGCAATTAGTGGTTTGGGGAATGAGAATGAATTGAGCTGTTGAGTTTAAGCTCCATCTTTGTTTAGTCATGAGGGGGAGAAAAGCAGGACTGTTTGTCTTTATTATCACTTGAACATATTCATCTTCACTAGAATCCTTGTCTGTATCTTCCTGATATATTTATAGTAGATCAGAGACAGAGTTATGTAAATTGATGACAAAAAAATGGAATCAAAACATTTTTTTTTATTATTATTTTAAAATCTCAGTACGCAGATTGCTGTCCAAAGGAATCCTGATCCAGATGTTTCCACTACATCATAAAGAAGAACTGAAGAGACTCTCCTTTTCTTGGTATAAAAAATTCAAGCTGTCCCTTCAGCCTCTAGGTAAAGCTGATTTCATCATATCCAGTTCAGTTTCATTCATTTCAATAGCACATATATTGGCACAACACAGGTCATCTGGAGTCCATCCATCCATGCACACACACCTAAGGACAAAATAAAGACCTAACCTAACCTAGTGCCTGGGGAGAATCCATGCATACATGCAGAACGGCCCCAGGCTGGGATTTCAAATTCAGTTCAAGAATACTTTATTGATGCCAAAGGAAAATTTAATAACCCAGAACCTTCTTGCTATAAGGCAGCAGTCCATCTGACTGCACCAATGTCCCGCCAATCATCTTAAGTCACTGCACAAAAAGTAACTATACCAAAACATCCAATTTACATGCAAAAATATTCAGTCAGTTACATCCAATCACACAGATTCTAAGTTGATTCCGTACATTATCAAAAACTGCAGTCAAGTTCAGTTTGTTATTCAAACTAGTTAAAAATGTTCTTAATGTAACCCAACAGTTTGCATCGACTCATTGATTTTATAGTAATCCCTCATACCGAGCTGCATGCAGCGACAGTGGAGAGGAAAACTCCCCTTCAACAGGAAAAAAATCTGCAGCACAATCAGAACCAGGCTGAGTGTGAACGGCCGGGGATTATCTCTAGAAATGTATCAACTGATGTTTTACTGACGTTTTTCTTCCTCTGGTCTATGACGCATCTAAACCCTGATGTATGAGGGTTAGCATCGTTTTCATCCAAAGTGACAACTGCTTCCTTGATAGGAAAGTAGTTTTAAATCCAAGTGGAAGCAAAGGAATGTTCCGTTTTTGTGCATTAAAACATCTGGTACTTTGGGTTTATTAAACACAGAGCCTGCTGTTTGTGAATGTGTTCATAGACTGAATGAATGTTATTGCATATTATGATCAGAAAAAGTCCTGATCACCATCATAGGAACATTGGCTGATTTCAATCACTCTCAGATTGATTGATGCATCAGTAAATGTCTGAGCATTATTGTGAAGCTAGTAGATATTCAGAGACTGTGATGAAATGTGATGGATTCCATTTTCCTCTGCCATGTAATATTAATGTTTTAATGTGTCGTTTTTCTTACTGTCAGTACTCCTACTCCGGTCTTTACTTTGCTCTTTCTCTTTCCAGATGAAATCAGACACTACTACGGTGAGGGCCAGGCGCTGTACTTTGGCTTCCTGGAGTACTTCACCTTTGCCCTGGTGCCTATGGCTCTGTTTGGAGTGCCTTACTACATGTTTGACTGGGAGGATTATGATAAATATGTAGCCTTTGCTGTTTTCAACGTGGTCTGGTGCACAATTATTCTGGAGGTATGAAAACTGATTTTACTGATTAAAGAACAAATTCATTCCAGCTCTGTAATGTAGTTAAGGTCTTCAAGAAGATCAAAATATTTGTTGATAAACATAAACAAATTAGTTTTTACATAGCAAAAAAAAACATGCAGAAGTAAGCAGTTTTGTCTGTGTCAACACAATGACAGAGAGGAAAGACGGCAGCAATGATCCTACAGAAGCAATCATTGCTTCTCATCAATCTGGGAGGAAAGAAATTCACTGTGTAACACTGAGACGTTATGTCCATATTGAGGACAAGACAGTTAGGCAACAAATCTACCTCAGATCAGTGTGTGAAATAACAGAAACAGGAGCTCCATGTTAGTTAAAGCTACATGTTCAAGGTCATTGATGTCAGAAGAAAGCCTCTTGTCTCCCAGCCTAGCATACAGAACATGTTAGATTTGAGTTTGGGAAAACTATCATTAGGAGAGGACGGCTGTGGCTTGTAGGTAGTGCAATTGTTTGCATTCAGAGGTTAAATTGTTGTAGGATAAGTTCTCACATATCAATGTGCCCCTGAGCAAGGCACTTAATCCCAAGTTTCCTAACAGTTTGCGTATTGGTGCATAAATGGGTGTTTCTGAGTGTGGCTATGTAAATGTGGCTCTAACATATCCTAGTTCTATCATGGGTAAGTGTAAATTGATTTCCGGTTGGCTGGATGATGTTCCTACATTTCTGTGGAGATATAGATCTTAAATTCCATTTATAATGGTCTTAAGAAGTCTTGATTTTGAGTTGGTGAAGTCTGCAAAAAAAACCTGCTTTAGAATAAACTTTCATTAGCTCCTTAAATGTAAAAGCTTTTAACTTGTTAGAAGGTTTTATAAATCCTGAACCTTAGGTTTCTGCACACCTCTGTTAAAGTCTTCCTATTTTGTGGGTGTGAAATATGAAACCATGATAAATTATTTACAAACTTTTCCCACATTTAATGAGACACTGTATTCTGTACATCTCAGCTAGGAAACAAACATGTATTTGGGGCGACGCGGTGTGGAATTTGTGTAACTGCTCACACCTTTAAACTAATAACTCTTGTTTCATCTTTAGCATTCAGTTTTCTTGGGTTCACACTTTCCATCAGTTGCAGTGAACCAGACTAATTTTAGAGTTCAGCTAGTCCTTGCTGGGTTTCTCTGGCTCTTCTGTATGTGAAGCCTTTTGCTAAAGCCATGGTTATCAGAGAGATTAGAATGGATCAGAAGATTCTGAGAGACATTCTGGGAACTTTGTAAGTTCCTGAGAGCAGCTGATTGTTCATTTAGGAGAGAATAATTTGGCAGCTAGTTTGTGTAAAACTGACGGGTAACACATAGTATTATTTGTTCAGAACCATAGAAGCATGTTGATAACAGCTAATAAGTTTACCGGACCCTCTCTCCTCCTCATCCTCCAGCTGTGGAAGAGATCCAGCGCCACCCTGGCCTACCACTGGGGCACGCTAAGCAGGAAGAAGGCCTTCGAAGAACCTCGGCCTGGGTTCCACGGCGTCCTCGGGTACAACCCCGTGACAGATAGGGAGGAGCCTCTGTACCCCAACGCCAAGCGCCAGCTGAGGATCTACCTGGTGTCGCTGCCCTTCGTCCTGCTCTGCCTCTACCTGTCTCTGTACGTCATGATGATCTACTTCCAGATGGAAGGCTGGGCGCTGTCCGTCCATGACCAGGACCCTTCGTTCTGGACAGGAGTGCTCCTTTACATCCCAAGTATTATCTACGCCGTGGTGATAGAGGCTATGAACCTTGTTTATAGATACGCTGCTGAGTTCCTCACAGAATGGGGTGAGACGGTCTAAAAACTCTAAATCTACACAAACACAACTGATCAATAATTTATTCTGTACGGAAGCATTTCACTGCCAGAGTTTGGAAATAAATTCAGGAGCGACATAAAGTATAAAGTTTCAAATTAAAATGAAAATTATTATATAATGTTATATAAAATAATTCTTATTATTTTATTGTTTCTTTCTTCTTTGACCATATCAACAAAAAACACACTCTGTGCTACAAATACCTAAAGAAATACACGGAACTCTTTGCTTTTATTGCACAGTTTTTGTTTCTGTTCACTTCATCTCCACGCCTGTATTTGATTTGTTTTATATCCCAATAAAAAAACAAAAAAATGGGAAAAAAACAGTAAAATCAAAAGAAATAAACATTCCTATTTTAACTAGACGTAAAACTCGTAAAATGAGAATGTTTTTTGTTTAACAAGCTATAAAAACCTCTCCTCTGACAAATTTCGACTTTTTAAAAAGGCATTAAAGCAGTTTGCCATGATTCTCCTTCTCACCCCGTTTCCTCTAGACAGCATCTAAAAATCCCTAGAAATGGCGCTCTTTTACTGTTGCAACTTTCTTATTTAGACAAGAAGATAATTTGGTGTTAATGAGCCATAAATCTTACGAGTTTTTATTAAAATCTCGTTAAAATGGGAAAGTGTTCTCCTTTAAACCAGATACTGCTCCTGAATTTTTTTCCAGCCTATGGCAGTTAAACACTTCTGAGTTTAAATCACACTTTTTTGATTATACTGGTTAGAGGACTTATGAGGGCAGCTGTCAGTCACTGGATTTTATTTATGGAATCAGAATAGAAAGAGTTCAGATTTTTATTTGCATGAACCACTAAGCAGTTCTGAACTGTTATTTTTCCACATAAAATGGTTTAAAGCTGACGCACTGAATGTTTTTGTTGATATGTGTTTAGAAAATCACCGCCTGGAGTCTTCATATCAGAACCACTTGGTCCTTAAAGTTCTTGTTGTGAGTATTAATGATGGTGTGCTGTGTGACCACTAACACAATCAGTCTGCAGGTTTATGGGGTTGTTATTTTCACGCAGGGTCAGGTTGGTTTGGATAGAATTATCACCCTTAATAAGTAAAATGATCATCTGAGAAATGTTTTTCTTTCTGTTTACTTAAAATTAAAATTAATTTTATGATCTGGAACCTTCAAGTGACACAAAAGCAGAAGCAATCAGTCAGGGTATTTATTCAAGTAAAGCTTATTTGTATGGCATATTTCAGCAGTTCAAAATGCTTTACATCATAAAAACATCACACAGTCATCAATTATGAAACAAGCAGTAAACATTACATTTTGTCAAATGATGCCGTCGTCAAAATGATCAAGCAAAATTTACATCGCAAATATTGATCAATGTTCCAGTTACTATGAATCAAATAGAGCTGTAAACAAATGGGCCTGGATTTAAAGGAACTCAGTGTTTCAGCTGTTTTGCCATTTTCTGGAAGTTTGTTCTAGATTTGTGGTGCATAGAAACTGAATGCTGCTTCTCCATGACATTAGTCCTGTAATCCGGGAAATATTCTTCAGGTGATAAAAGGCTTTGTAACTGTCTTTATGTGTCTCTGAAGGTCCACGTCAGAGTTAATCACTACACTCAGATTTAAAGCCTCATCACTAGTTTCTAGCTGTGATGAGGTTAGAAACTAGATCTACTCTGTTCTACTCCCACATTCAGCCTCTTATTGATCTAATCTCCTCATCTTGTCATTTAGTTTAACTTCTTCAACTGTTTCGCCTCGCTGTTCTACATCGCGTTTGTAATGCAGGACATGGTGCTGCTCAGTCAGGTGCGTTCCCTCCTTTCCGGTTTATTTGGTCCTCCGTGTGCACCCGTGTGCACTCACATCTTTTCCTCCTCTCCTGCTGTTAGAGTCTGGCCACCTTACTGATCACCAGTCAGATCTTGAATCAGTTCATGGAGGCCTTCTTGCCTTACTGGCTGCAGAGGAGACGCAACAAGAAGATGATTCGCAAAGTTCAGAAGAAAAGAACTCCCGGGGACAAAGAGCTCCCTCTGGCGGAGCAGGTCCGTCTGGAGGCCGATATGAGCACGTACTTGGTGAGCTCACGTCTTCCGATGAAAGCTACAGCAATCATCCCAGCAGAGTCTGATCTCTGAGGTCTACTTCTCTCAGGGAACGTTTGACGACTACCTGGAGCTCTTTCTGCTCTTCGGCTACGTCAGCCTGTTCTCCTGCGTCTACCCGCTGGCTGCTGTCCTGGTGGTGTTGAACAACGTCACAGAGGTTTACTCCGACGCCTTCAAGATGTGTCATGTGTTCAAAAGACCCTTTGCTGACCCGGCTGCAAACATCGGAGTCTGGCAGGTTGGTATCCGTCAGCTTTTTCTGCACAAAGGAACATGGTGTTTATTTATAAACTGAGGGAACAGCAAAGGTTTAGAAAACAGAGGAGAACTGCTCTCATGTTGATCTAACTTCATTTAAAGAGAATGTTTCAGGTTGTTGGTTGACATCTGAGGTGTACTAGATGGATTTCTGTAGACCCTAGAATGCAGTTAGTTCATATTTATTAATTCCTGTCAATAATTATAAACAATAAGATCAAAGAAAACTAAAGTCATATCATAGTAAAGAAATCTGTTTCACTGTTTAATGTGGGCATGCTCAGGTTCCTTAAAGATATCTAAACATTAAAACGCAATGTAAAGGTTAAAAAAAAAAAAAAAATTCCATAATCCCTTATTCCCCCTTTAAAATGTTCTGACTTTACTTCAGGTCCAGTTGATGTCGATACTGATTGGTTTCATAAAACCCAGTGCATCTTCTTAGCTCCGGCATCAAACCTGTTGTCCTTAAACAGTCAACCCGTCTGATCCGATGAGATGAGGCTGATTTAAAGCAGCCGCTGCTCTCTGTGTGCCTCTGACTCTCCGCAGCTCGCCTTTGAGACCATGAGTGTGATTGCTGTTGTGACCAACTGTGCGCTCATTGGCATGTCTCCACAAGTCAAAGCATACTTCCCCGAGTCTGAGACCCAGCTCATCCTGTGGACGGTGGCCATCGAGGTAAATCCACTCAACTCATGCCAGCTCCCGGGCTGTGTTCTGGAACATCACTAACATCGTAATTGTTTTAGTGAGACTTCGTTCAGAACAAAGAGAAGCTTGTCCTAACAGAGGATGGATTGAAGCCCCAAATAAGGCACTGACATGCAATGAGAAAGGTTTGGTACCCTGATGATGAGCTGCTCTGATTTATTTGTGCAGCTTAAATACTGAAACTACACAGAAAACATGAACTGAACGCAATGGTTTGAGTGAATAGGTAGAAAAACATTCACAATGAATTCAAACTGGTGAGCTCGGTTCATTTTTAAGGAGTAATGCAGTGCTATGTTGTATAATTAGGCCATCCTGGGAATTAAATTGTTCAAAGGAATAATTAAAAGCCCCAAATTATCCTGAAAATCCCACATCATACCATCAGAAGCAGGATACGCCTCACTGTGTAACTGTGGGCATCCAGCAGCTGATGGAGTTTCCCTCACTAGATGGAGCCACAGTGCAAGTTGGCTCAGATGAGAGGAGGTTCTGTGAGAGTGTTGGCTGTATGTAATATAATGTTTTAAAATAATAAAAAATAGGATTTAGCCTTCAATTCAATTCAAACTTACTTAATTAAGGACAGCATATTAAAACAATGTTACATGTTAAAAGCAGAGCGACCTTGATTTTGTACTTACGTTTTCTAACCACAGGCTAATTTGCAAACCTAGTCTTTGGTTGGACCTTTATTAAAAGTCACTGAATTAAATTTCTGCGACTACAAGCAAGAAAAACATGAAATTGCATATTCTCCAGCAGCGTATGTTGTTATTCATTAGTGTTCACATTTGTTTTTGTTTTTACCATTGTTTCACCTGGGAATTAAAAACTCTGTTGCCATTGTTACTGCCGATGTAAACTGTTCCACATATGAGGATGGCTGAAGGCTTTAAATGCGCTAATTTACAGGTCTTGAATTTTGTTGTGTTTAAGTCTTATATATTGTCGAATATATGTCGTTTTCTGTCAGGCAAAGTTTGATTTTCACTTTGTTCTGCGACACAATTTGGTAACCTGTTAGCTGCTAACATACATTTGCTAGCTAGCTAGTTTTTTTTTTGAGTCCATCATGGGGGCAAACAAATTTATCGCCAATAGACTGGATGACGCTCGTTTTCTCCGCTGGCTCACTTCTGTTGCGATCCTTTACCTCAAAATGGGTTTTGGAGTAGAAACTCGGTGCTTTCTGGGCAAAAAAGCTTTTAAATTTGGCTACAGTGGTTCAGGTTGTAGAGAGGCTTATTTCACAACTTATGCGACGCTTGATTGCGACAACAGCAGGATCACCAACCATTCCCTATATTTATATGGTTTTGTCTTAAATTAAATTCAAGATGATGTTTAAAAAGTCTTAGATTTGACACTGAAAACTTATAGATATCCTGTTTTCTCCATCTGTGGATATTGATTTTCACTGTGGTTCCCTGGAGTCCCAGTGCTTTAGAAATGACTTTGTAGCTCTTCCCAGAGTCCAGACTGGCTGGTATCAGAGACTTTCACCCTTTCATTTTGTTTCATTTTGTCACACAGGTCCGATTCCTGTCAGACCTGTGTGTGACTGGTAAAGGTCGCATTGTATATTTTAGTCCCCTTAATTTAAAAACTGAACTAGGTTTTACTCAGGTCATCTTTGTTGGATCATAAAATTAGTTTGACGATGTGAAACATCATAGTGTAAAGCAGAAGAACTCTGAAGGGGGGTAAATACTTTTCCTCAGCTCTGTAGACACTGTGAACTGCTCCAGGAGCCGGTCAGTTGGACTCTGACAGCATTCTGCCTCTCCTCTGTCTGAGGCGTCCTCTGGCCTGGAGCCATGGGAACATGACTTTTTATGGCTGTGGACTGAACGCTGTCCCGGGGTTCTGGCTGCAGGTGGGATGCTGCTCCGCTGAGCCCAGACAGAACCAGGACAGCTCCCAGCATGCAGCCAGCCAGTAATGCACCAATCAGAGCCATCCTGTGTGTTGGAAGAGTCAGCTCCTGAGTGTGCTTTGAACATGTTTCCACTTCATCAATATCATCAACATGCACATTTGTTAGAACAGAGCAAAGGGGCGGAGCTTCCACTGATTGAGTCTATGAAGACCAGCTGGGTGGGTGTTTTTACACACAGTTGGGTTTAAATTCAGAAGTCGCTGCTTGTTTCCTGGTTGCTGGGCGCCTTGTAGCTTTCTGGCGGCGGTGCTGTGATACCTGGGTAATTACTGTATGAAGCTTCCTCGCATCACTGAGCAGTAACCAGGCAACAGGCCGGCCTGTCTCAGACTCAGAGATTTTCTTTTAGAGTGACAGGGCTGTATCATTTCAGAGCAGCTGGACTTACAGACCAAACCCTCTGAGCAGAGTTTGCAGCTTCAGCAACCAGCTGGACCAAACAGCATCAAGAGGGGAATAAAAATCACTGCTCTGGGTTTGTTAATCCTGACTTTTTTTAGTATTGGTTGACCTGGTCTGTAGTTTAGTGCATGCAGTTTAATCATACCTTTATATTTTTCAGATTTTGCCAAAATCTAAAGACCCTAAAAACTGAGCCATAACCTTTTAAATCTAACCCCAGGCTTACCAAACACTCAACAGATTCCACGTCTTTATCAAAAAACGTTGTAGTTTTAAGGGGTAGTTACTTTTCACCTAGGTTAGCTTATATTTTGGAAACTGTTTTTTTGTATTTATCTTTGTCTGATATTAACATCAGTTTGATGATGTTCTACAGAAAGCAAAATATTCTATATGGGTTAATATTCTCCTACCTGTTTATCATGTTTCATCTCATTGTTTTTGTTTTACCAAACCACTGTGTTATTCTGAACCATCATCGTCATCATCATGGTGCTCCACATCAGGCCAACACAGGCTGGTGGATCTTTATTTTCTTTCATTCTGTGCCCAGAAGGATCTGGCATTCAAACACTGTGTGTTGGCGGACTATGTGAAACATGAAAATGTTAATTATGCCTCATTATTGGTTTGTTTACTTAAAGCCTCCAGATAATATTAGTTTCCACTTTGGTAAGTATGCTGAATGCATCCAGTTTGAATCTTTGCAGAAAGGCTCTTTGAGAATAGAAACATAAATAAGCATTAAGATAAACATTTTTGATCATTTTTATTCATACTTTTAATAAGATAAGATATTAAACATCTGCAGTTGTAACCTGAGCCAAACTGCCCAGCCTGCAGAAATACATTACGTCAGATTGAGAGTAAATGCTACATTGTTTATGGCGTATTAGTTGAATATTGAATGAAAAGATTGAAATGTTAATTTTCTCACTAACATGGGTGGGTGCCATGGTAACGTACTGTGTTGAGTACTGGGCAGTGGATATAGCACTGCAACTTCTGCCAGAATCTTCAGAAGTGAAGCTGCTTATAATTGCTCAGGATAGAAAACCACCTGGATTTATCTGTTCAATCATTTTACACAAATGGTCAAGCTCTGACTTACGATATTCCTAAAATTTCATTTATTATTCACAAGATTTTTGTCTGACAAGTAATTATTTATTCACATTAAGCTATGACAGTCTAGGCAATCAAAAAAGTCTGATTTCAGAGGTGTTTCTACATGTTAACTCACAAAGGCTAACAGCAGTTAGCTCCCTTTATCCTGGCCAGGTTCTTTGCCATCTGCAGGATGATTCCCATTCAAATATCTCAGTGTAAGGTTTAGAACAAGAACTCCTGCTAAGGTCGTATTAGAAACCTGAGGACGGATTACTTAACGTATGTTCTGCACATCCACCAAATGTCTGCAGCGTCGTCATGGTACAGCTCCCACCTACAGGAAAATATTCACTTATCTACAAATTGTGCCGAAGTTTGACTGTGCTGGTTGCTGGGAGACCAAAGGAAGTAATGAGCTGTTAGGCTCTGTCAGGCTGATAGAACAGGACTAGCATCACAGCTACAGCTACAGCTACGGAGAAGAGAAGAAAAACACTTCCATGCATACTCCACTGTGTGAAGAACTGAATCTTTTCAGTGTTGACTCACAAAATATGTGAATAATCTGACATGGTACACAGATGTAGTTATGGGGTGTGCTTCCTCTCAGATAGATCATCTCTGTCTCACACATACACACAAAAGTTTGTATTTAAACCCATATTAGGACTTTGAGTTGACTTCCAATGATAACTTCATTTATGCCTAACCCAAACATTTCCCTAACCATGGCCATACATACACACAAGCACACACACACATCAGGACTGATGCAAGCTACAGTAGCTGGAGGGAGCAGATTCAGACTTGGTGCCTGGATAAAACCTGAACATATCTGCCGTCTATCACACTACTATTATTCTTTAATTGATAACTGTGGCTTTAAATACTGAGACAACAACACTGCTAAGGAAAACAACAAGCATCAAGAAGGATGCTGTTTGATTCAGTCAGCACAGTGCAGCACTTTCCCTAATCAACAAACAAAGATCTCTGGTCTTATCGAGTTGTCACATTGATTGAATATGCACAATAAACACTCCGGCTCTTAGCTGATTGCTCATGTTGTTAGAAGCTAATTTATATATCCGATGGTTCAGCAGCTCAAGGTTACCCTGAACCCTGAGGATGTTCAGGCACAAACCATAAAGTGTGTTTTGCCTGACATAATGGAAGTGATCAAACTGCAAACACTGTCTGCTCTGTCACTGCTGCTCTGAGGCGTGCTAACATCATTCTCCTTCCGATCAGTGATAAAGCATTCATTTTGTCCACCACCGTTATGATTCAAATTATTGTACACATGGATTGAATCTCATATTTGGCTAAAGAGGATTAGTTTTCCATTTTGTTCACAAACACAACCAGCATTAGAAATAGAAGCCTAATGTCAGTAAATAGTGGTTTCCTTGGAGACATTCAGTTTATGATTAATGCGAAGCAAATAAGCCGCACAAAGTGAAGCATTTACTTTCTGTTGGAGGCCTATCAGACTTTGTGGCACCAGGAAGCTTGTTAAAACAGCACACACTAACTCTGGTGTAGGGTTGTTAGTCTTCCTTCATCTTATCAGTTTCTCCTCATTGGCTCTGGCAGCGTTGGAGATACTTCCTGATTATATGCCAGCCTGAATAAAGCAAAAACAGACCCTACCCAGTGGTGCTTTATTTATTACCTTCTCCTGAACTCAGCAGGCTCTTCCTCTATATAGAAGGACAGATTGGATTGCAGGTGCTGCTCTGCACTGTTGTAAAGAAAAAAAGAAAGTCCTTGATTTACTGGTCTGTCTCACTTGTGATCATGAGATACAGACCATGACTGAAAGAATGACATCCCACACACAGACAGCTGAAATGAGCTTCCTCTGTTGGATGGCTGGGCTTAGCTTCAGGGATGGGGTGAAACTTTATGTCACACAAGGGGCAGTTAGAGTGGAACCACTGACTCAGGAGTTCTTCCCTGTGGAGGCTTTCATGTCCCATTGGTAGGAGACCCAGAACGAGAGTCATGTATGGATGCACACATTAGAAACTTTGAAACACCCTTTGCTTCTACCAAATCCAGAGTCCAGTACACACTCTGCTCTGTACATCTGCTCTGTGGTGGCGCTGTTACATTGTGCACCAAATGGGACACTATGGGGAATCCAGCCTCTCAAAACTTAATTGGTTCTTAAATATGTTTCCCTTTTCATCCAAAACACTTTTCTTACTTAAGATGGACTCAGAGTCTCTTTAAATAATTTTTTTTTCATTGACGTGTTTCACTTGTGCAACAAACTATTCTACTTAGCTTAGCTTAACTTAGCTTAGCTTAGCTTTTCTCAGCTTAAATTTTCTCATGAGCTTAGCTTAGCTATGCTTTTCTTTTCTTAGCTTGGCTTACCTTTTTTTAGCTTACCTTATCTTAGCATGTCTTTTCTTGGTGGATCTTAAATTTTATTATGTTAGCTTAACTTAGCTTTTGTTACCTTATCTTATCTTTTCTTTTCATAGCTTAACTTTTCTTAGCACACCTTAGCTAGCCAGTGATTTATATGTAAATAATGTATCATTTTGAGTCTGTATGAAATAGAGAAACTTGTGTGCTGCTTATTTTTATTCTCACCCTGGGTCACACACTTAATTTAATAGGATTCATGATCTTGACCAGAGCAGGTAAACGTTTGAACACAAAACAGGCGAGGGAAGCTGGTTATGATGATCAGTCTGGCTAAAACCTCTCTGACCTCAGCAGGATCTTTGTTCTGGTAAAGCTGATGGAGGTTCTGTCTGTCGATCAGTCTGTCTGTCTCTTTCTGATTTACAGCAGAGGAACAACTCAATTAAAAAAAAAAAAACTGAATTTTGCTGTGTTGTCATTTCTTTCAAACTAAGCTTCCATTACTTCATGTTGACAAAAGCAGATTTAAATAAACATTGAAGATGATGTACTCTGATGTGCTCTTTGATTCTGATTCTTTGACTTTTTTTTATAAATATAGCATGGACTGCTGGCTTTCAAGTTCATCCTGACGTTCCTTATCCCAGATGTTCCCAAACACATCCAGATCAAACTGGCCCGGCTTGAGTTCGAGTCACTGGAGGCTCTGAAGAAGAAGGTAAATAGATTGATTTGGATTCTCTAGGACGTCTGGACTTTTCTTGGTTCTTAAATATGTTTCCCTTTTCATCTGAAACATTTTTCTTAGTTAAGCCCATGGACTTGGAGTCTCTTTAAAGAATGAATTTTCTTCATATCAGTGATTCTTCTTACTACTAGTCGCTTCATATGTTGGTCTGGTGGATCCAGATGATAACAAACCACGAATGGCTTTTTGCTGGTATCTGTGTAACTTAAATTATTTCCATTGTCTGTTTGGAAACTTTGGGCTTTTTCTTTAAAACTGTAAACATCTTTTAGGTTTGAAGTTGAAAGACGTGTTGACAGCTTTGAGCAGATCTTTGATGCTTCCAACATTTAAAGAAAACACAACTGAGTTCAGTGAAAGAGAAAAAAAATAGTAGGTGGAAGGACATGTCATCACACATGTGGTTTGATTGTCTGAGAGAAATGTTCCAAGCACAATATCCCAGTGCATTTTAAACCAACAACATTTTAAACGTAACATCATTGTCGGACGAAGACTGCATCATCTCAAGGATTAAGTATCCAAAACAGCCTCAGCACTCCTGTGCACCAAAACATGTTCAGACCAACATACACATAATGACACCAAAACAGAGAATGATAACTAAATCCTAGCTGCTTGGTGTAGTTTTTCTTATTAGCTTAGCTTAGCTACACTTATTTTTTTCTTAGCTTGGATTAACTTGTCATATATTCTTAGTTTTTAGTTTATCTTTTCTTAGCTTAGCTTAGCTTGACTGACTGTTGAGTCAGATGTAAATGGCTCAACAGTCATTTACATCTGATTGCCTCCACACACTATTTAGACAGTAAGTCCACACTTTAGACCAGCAATAAAGGTAACTTTAGAGAAAAGTGAAAAAAATCCTGGAAGTCAAACATGAAAAACCAACACTAAACAGAAGTGGTGACTTCAGGTTCCATTTTTCTAACATGTACAGTGAAGCTTGGACTCTGCTCCCCTGAGCAATTCACCTGAGGTCATCTTTTCAAAATAAGTCATATATTGGCACTATTAACACGTGTATTGTCAAGTGACAATGATTCAAACTTTAAACCAGATGATCTTTTTATCTCACGCTGTCTCAGAGAGTTAGCATTACCAAGATTATTCCAGTCCCCAGTGTGTGGTAAACCTGGCAGCCCACCAGGCTTTACTTGCCTTCCTACCCCCACCAGGTCAAGAAAAGCCTGGTGGGAGGGCTTTACTTAGCCTGTTTATTGTAAATACGTTTATTTAAATAAGTTGATTTACAGTAAACTTATTTATTGTAAACAAGTTTTTTTGAATGGCGTGCAAGGGGCCACGCACCAGTTGCTCTGTCTCCTCCCTGCTGGTTGATCTCCAGCACTGACACTGTGTCTGTTGCGGATCTTGCGCACCACTTCTTACTCTGACCGAACGATTTGAAAGGTGCCTTTGCAGAGCAGGTCCACCTGCACTGGCATTATAAACCCTGCAGGAGGAGAATTGCAGCACCAAGGTACAGATCAAGCCACGCCTCTTCATCCACTTTGATAACATAGAATACAGATTTCCTATGTTGTCCCACAACGTAGGAGACATTCCAGTGTGCTGCTACAGTGTGAATACCTGTTAGTCTGTGGCTCTGGAGCATGCAGGTGTGTGTTAAACACTAAACGACGAGGGAAAGACATCAGCAATGTCACATTCAGAGTAACACTGACAGCGTTTCTCCATCCCTCCTGTGACTTTGGGTTTAAGGCCCAACTTCTCATACCAGCTGCTGGTTTTTGGCTCATTGAGTCGTTCTCTGTTCTCTTGCTTCTCCAGAGGCAGATAAATGCAGGGTGAGTAGCTCCGGGTTGGTTTTCACTTTGATTGCCATCATTTCTCACCAATGATTCCCCCCCTCCTCCCCTCATAGCAATCACACGTTAATACTCTAAAATGTTGCACACTTTTCTACTATCTAAACCCCTGACTCAGTATGAAATCTAACCCGTAAAGCTCCACAGTATAATACTGCTGCAGCTGTAATGAACTTATTGATCTGTTTTCCAGCATGGACTGAAATCTAACACTAGAGCTTGTTGTGTTCTTAGGTTTGAAAATGTCTTTTTGTTTTGTTGATTCAGGGATTGGCTATCCAGGTCACATTTGAGAGAAGAAATGCAAACTGTCCTAGATCTAAGATTTAACATTTGAAATTAAATAAATACCACCATATATTAACAGCAGTGACCTGTAATAAGCCATAATGACTAAGAGTAAAGTTAGACTGATGAAGTCACGTTTACGTGTTCTAGAAGGTTAAATCACCAGTTGAAAATGTTTTTTTGTTTTACAACTTAGAACTTTATTGTTATTTTGACCTAATTTTGGGGCCAATCAGAACTTTTACAGAGTTAATTTGGGTAGTTTAAACTTCTAAATCTGAATGATTAAGAACCTGACGTCCTGACATAAAGTTAAGACTTCAATACTCTGTAAATAAATTTGCAGATTAATATTTTATCTGATTTTCCTTTGTGTGTTTAATGTTGGGCTAAAGCAAAAATCTTTCTTTTGCAGATGCAAGAACCTAACATGACACAGATGTTCCCAGAGGTTTGCTTTATATGAAAACAAATAATGTTTGGATCAAAAAAAATCATGGATGGCCACCATGGTCATCAGGGAAAATCTATATTTGCACTAAATCTGGCACTGCTAATCACAAATGATACATTTTGGTGTCAAATGATACATAATAATTGGACCCATAGAAATTATATTTGCCAATAATTGTTTGATTTTGAAGATGGCTACCATCTTTGTCATGGAAATTTTATTTTTACACTCAAATCTCTAATTAGATTGTTTGGTGTCAAATCACAGCCTTCATATTCTGAACCATAGAAATCATATTTTCTTGAACTTGTCTTCCTTTTTCTTTACATTTTTCAAAATGACCACCATGGCGCAAACCAGAATATATGTTTGCTCTAAAATTGGCTGTAGCTACTGCTAGCAGTGGGTACAGCTAACCAAAAAGTAAATAAATAAATAAACAAGAATCACTAAACATGTACAAAATTTAGCAGGAGCTAATACTAAACTTCGAAACACATAAAGAAATTAGCAAAAGCTAACACCAAACCGCTAAACGCATAAAAAATGAACCACTAAGACGACTGTTGCTCTGTTTATGTCACACATCTTCATCTCCTTCCAGCTGATGACAGATTTCAGACTTACTGACAGCAAAGTCCTCAGTTTGAGTTTTGGCTTCTGATTTTGCTACATGTTATTACTTTAAAGTTGTATGAGTTTGATGACATATTTGTCTAAAAAGCTCAAAAATGGTGGCCATTTTGAAATTGAAATAGCTAGTGAAAAACAAACAGGCTGATCATGCAAATTGTTGCATCCACATTTGAACATTTTTTTACAGTAATATTCAGCACCATTCAAATTAAGTTTCCCTCTGGGATCAATAAAGTATTTTTGAATTAGAATTTGAATATAGTGTGTCATCAGATTGTTGTCCCATATGCTGCGGCTCCCTTCGTTTCGTGTCTAATAATATCGCAATGAGATAATTGATGCTTATTGACTCTCAGTTCAGCCTCAGGCACAGAGAAGTTTTAAGTTTCGCAGAGTTCACATTCCCCCATGAGACACTCGATCAGGCCGATGAAAGGATTCCTTGGCTGCACATGTCCGGCTCCATACCGCCTCTCTGTGCAGCACCATGTGAGCGGATCAGTCAGCGCTGCCTCCAACCTGCTGTCACACCGGACGTACAGTAGCTGACCCATGTTCCTGCTGGACCCAAAGTTTTGTCCAGGTCTGCCTACTGACATTTTCAGGAGCAGAAGTGTCCAAACCCTCATGATGTCATTCAGTTCACACACACTGATTGGACTGTTGGTATTCAAGTCTACTTTCTCTTGTAGAAGGAAGTTTTTTTTTTTTTTTTTTTTTTTGTTTTTTTTTTCAAAAAACTGCTTCAGAAGGAATCCGAGTAATCTTTTTGAAGAGGTCAAGTCTAAACATCCAAACCCAGAGAAGAATTAATATATCTTTCTTTTTTTGTGCCACTCTAAAATGTGAGGTGCCACCGGACCATGCGTGGGTTCTCCTCACAAGCTCCAACTTCCTTACACTGTTAGAAATATAGTCACATTAAATTAATTTGTGTTTCTGCATCACTGTCTTCATGATGCATCTGTAATTTTGGATAATATAAATCTAGAAATGTCGGGCATGGTTTATTATGAAAACCCAACATGAGTGTAAAAAGTTACCTCCTGAGTAATTAGAGTCCAGCTTCCTTATGGTGAAATATGGTGGTGGCAGCATCATGCTGCCTGGATGCTTTTCTTCAGTAGGAGCAGGGAGGCTGCTCAGAGTTGATGGGAATTTGGATGAAGGTAAATCCAGAACAATCCTGGGGGAATCCTGCACTGAAAAAAAAGAGAATATGGATCCAGCTTTAAAACAAAAAGTGTTAATTCCAATTTGTCTTAAGTTGGAGCTGCATTGTGTTTTTTTCAGTGTTGGAGGCTGCAGAAGACCTGAGAACTTCCAGCCATGTGCAGTCCTGCACATGGATTGTTTATCACATTTCACCATTTGGAAATGTGTAAAACCGTCTCAGTCAAACACTGTGTATCGTATTGAATGAACGTGATCGTGTTTCCTTTTGTGTTTCAGAAAATGCTGGAAGGCACGGAGTTCAGGAAGAGCGTCCAGTGAGGAGAGGAGGACCTGCAGACTCTGACGACCCACACTCCCTTTTTGTTTGCTTTAAAAATCCCATCGTTGTTATTTTTTACAGTTTATTGTTTTTATGCATAGTGAAAATATGGTTTACTATTAGTGGAGCAGACATGTGTGAAAGGTTTATTATGGTGAACGGTCTGAGCACTGAAACGGGTTCTGGGTTTGGGGTGATGGACGACTAGAGACATGTTGGGATGAATGAGCTGCTGTTCAATTTTTCTGCAGCTATGATGCACTGTAAAACATATTTAGTTATTCCAAAGAGTGTTGATGAAAATAACTGCTTTGGTGTTCTCATGTTCAGCCACTGAAGTCACTTTGGGTTCAGTCAGTATTTTGGTTCAGAACAGCACAAACTAGCATGTTCTAATTATAAATGTGTTAAAGGCTGCAAGGTGTGTGGTCACCTGATTGGCTGACAACACAATGCCCTAATGTACGAAAGCAAAGAAAGGCCAAAAAGATGCAACCACTGAAAGCAACATCAGAATTTATTTTAAAATCTGAACCAGATCCAGCTGGGATTGGATTTATCCAGACAGATACTTCGGCTTTTCATTGCTCTCGTAAAGACGATCACAGCGGAATGCCATATAATCACAGCATGTGTTAAATCATGAATTCTTCACATCCAGGGTAGGGACACATACACACTGGCGTGTGAGGGCCATTGTAGAGGGCCGACTAAAACAGTTTGAGAATAATCTCAGGAATTTTCTAGATAAAACATAGAAATTTCTGAGTTCCAAAATTTGAACTTTTGGGAGAAAAAAAGTTCAGAAATTTTAAGATTAATCTCAGAAATTTTCTAGAAATAACATGGAGATTTCTAAGTTTGAAAAGTCTACAATTTGCTACAAAAAGTCTCTGAATTTTTAAATTAATCTTAATTCAAAAGTTGAAAATGGTAAACATTTGAAACTGAACATTTCTAAGTTCTCAGAAAAAAAAGTTGTAGCAACTTTTTGACTTTCAAACTACTTAAAATTTCTAGAGAAACCAACAAAATTTCTGAGTTTTTTAGTTGAAATTTACTCCTTTATTTTTTTTTTACTACAGTGGCCCTGATACGCCATCATACACAGAAGATGAAGTGCACTTCTGTAACCTCCTGGTGCCTTAGTTTCCTGCTGTTTATTCTATAAAATGTACCAAACAGGTTGCAGCAGGTTGCTTTGGATCAGCCTTGGCTTCAATAAACTAACAAACCTGGAACTTAAACATGAGTCCAGTTTTTTCTTCTCCTCCAACAGAAGAGATTTTCCAAACTCTCCTTCTATTTGATTTCATCTTCAGAGACATGAGCTGTCGGAAACAGAGTGTGTGTCCAGTGGGCGTGATGTGTTGAAGGAAACCGGACCTTTTGTCTTCCTCAGAGTGTGTGTGAGGAGCACACGGCGTGCCAGCTGCTCTGGAAGCTTCTGGGTCATTTGAGCTGAGAGAGAGTGCCCCTCCTCAGCGCCAAGCACCTGAAAGCTTTTCAACACCTTTTGCTGCTCTGAGTATCATTCAGAGACCCTCACAACTCCCATCTGAATCACGTGAAGACAGACCGATAAAGTCCACTCAGTGTTGGAGCTGAATGGACGGAGAGGTAGGAGGTCCATGAAGCAGGACAGACGGAAACAATCTAGAACTATGAGAATGAGAAATGATGTCAGTCCTGTTGGGATTTAAGACGGATTTTCACATCCCAACCTGATCTCTGGAGCAGATCCAGGGGAAACCCAGGCTGGAGGGTCGCTTGACCTTTTAGGAGGCAGAGCTGGATTCCTCTGGCCGGGTTGGTCCTGCTCACACTTCTCTGTCTTCTCCTATTCATATTCAGCAGCTCTCCTACCTGTGGCAACACTGGCAGGCCTTGAAGGTTAGATTGAGATTCACAGAAACATACAGAGGAGCAAAGGAATCCTGTTGTTCCACTTCAAGTCCTTTAAAATGGACTGAAGTAAAGAAGAAATCCCAAATTTACATGAGGCTGAACTGAAACCTCCAGCTCCAAACGCACCAGATCTCTTCATGGAGAAAAGCTTGATGCTCTGATGGGAAGAAGACTGAGCTGTCTGAATGATGGAAGGAGTCAGGGTGAGGCTTTCAGACCAAACAACTCTGGACCAAAACCTGCAAGTTAGATAAAATTGCAGAAAATGGACTGAATATGACTTTGGATGGGATGAATCAGTCTTAAAGGGGTAGAGGACCCGGACCCAAGCTCAGAGGGTAAGAAGGGAATTTATATATATATATATAGATAGATAGATAGATAGATAGATAGATAGATGGAGAGAGAGAGAGACTTTTATATTTTTACCAGTGTTGCTCTGAGAAGTATCTCTTATGAACTCAGCATATATGTCGTTCCACCAGGTGGTTGCTAATTGCTGCTGACTAGTCTGAAGGAGCTGACTGAAAGTGTTAGAGGAGGGCTGCTCTGTGAGATGGAAGCTGCAGCTCTGAGGAGGAGCTGTGCCTCGAAGGCGGAGCTAGGGCCACCCAGGCATTTTGCACAGCTGAATGGTTGCCATGGAGATTAAAGGAATTCTCAAACATGCATTAAAGAATCAAGGCAGGACTCCAGATATTTTTGGTGAAGCAATAACATTACACCATAAGCCTCAAAGATGTTGATTTTACAGAATATTGGCCCTTTAACAATACGGTGAGCTTGATATCATGATAATGGTCTGATGTACATGTGTTCAAATCTGAAAATAAATAAAACAACAAAAAAAACTCACATGTAAGAGACAAAATTCAACTTTTATTTTTTGGGATATTACCAGAGCTATATGTATTGTCTGACAACAGGTATCAACTCCAGAATATTACAGTGATGTTTTTTTTTTTTTCTTCCTGTTTGTTGCCTTTTGGTCCAGTAGGATTTCTGTGGCTGATTCTGCTCCAACACTGAGACACATGCACATCATTCACCTGAAAACAGCTGAGTAAAGACAACAGTCAGACAGCTGACGGTATGAAGAGAACTGTCATTTTGCCCACGCAACTATCACATCCATACAGGATTACTACGGTCATTATAAGGCTAGTTTTACTGTACAACTATGCACCAAAATGTTCTAGGTAAAGAGAGCACCATATTTACAACTCTATGTACATTTGGTTCTTCAGAAAATCTTTGACGAAACTAAAAGTTGACGGCGGCAGCTGAGAAGCTGCGTAGGTTTGGAATTGACAGAAAAAGTGAAGCTAATGAAACGTCTCTGTACAGATAGCTGCAACACATGCTATAGCTTATTGCCAATGCCCTAAAACATGGCCGCTCTTCCACTTCCTGCCGACTCTCACATGGCCGATTTATTTTTTTAAACACACCAGCAAGAAACACAAACAATAATTAAACAGCAGACATTTCATAAAATGTACATGTTTAAAAAATACATTTTTCATCTTCATAACGCTATGTACACAACACATGACTCAGCAGCCGCATGAACAGTGAGCTTTGGGAGACGTTCAGGTGTGAGGAGGAGAGAACCAAAATCTATCAGCTTATTTTTCCATAGTTGGTCAGCAAGTGACTTTTTAATGCAACATCATGCAAGAATTTATACAAAACGCCGCACTTCTCTTCAAATGAAATGTTTCTGTTAGAAGGTGCTGCTTTGTAAGTCAGAAATCTTTATCCAGTCAATGTATTCATGAAGGTACAGAAGGAGGTTAGAGCCACTGAAAATAAGAAATCGTTCTTGAATTTTGACTTTTTTACAAAAAAGTCAGAATTCTGACTTTAATTTTAATCTCTTAAAGTCAGAATAATGACAAAAAAATATCTAAATTCTGACTTAAAATTTCAGGATTTTGACTTTTTTCTTAAAATTCTGTATAAAGGTCAGAAATCCAAGAAAAAGTCAAAATCCCAAGAAGAAAGTTGGAGGTGACACTTTTTTTTGATGGGGTGTGCATAAGACTGACATGACACTGTCATAAACATGACTTAACACCTTTAATGAACATGAATGAGTCTTCATGAATGTTTAAGGCTGTTGTCATGAAGTGTCATTTGGTAAATAATGACACTTTTAATACAGAATTGTATTAAAAGTCCATTAAAATGGTCAACTTTACATTCTATCATTGTTTATCAAATGACACTTCATGACAACAGTCGTAAACATTCATGAAGACTCCTTCGTCTTCATAACAGGTAATAAGTCATGTTTCAAATCATCCTGCAGCTGTATAATAATCCCACCATGCAAAATGACCAGTTCTAATTCTTAGCAACTGATATGATCATCATTAATGTTCATAATGTGTAGATTCTGATCGGAACTTTAAAGCTGCAGAGGAAAGTCTGACAGGAAGAGGAGCTGCAGATTGTCTGAGTGCAACAGGAGGAAAAGCAGAGCTGATGAGTGAAGGAGTGAACACAAACATCAGGAGGAGATTCTGTAAAAATGATTGTTTTGATGGAAGGAATCCACGTTAGCAAAAATATGAATAAGTTGCTGTCCTAACACCTGGCAGCCCAGCCAGCCTTGGACTTCCCTCCTCCTGATGATGGAACATGGTGACCTTTGAACTTTACACTGTTTGCTCATTATTAAAGGCCAAAAGGGCGTGTTTATGTCATTTATGGCTTTACATCCGGGCAGGCCTTTCCACCAGAACCAGGTCCAGTGTTAAACCAGTTCCTCCAGTTCTCACCCAGCAAACAGCAGACTGGTGGGTCACTGGTTCCGTTTCACCATCGACTCTTAACTGGGTCAGGATTTAGAACAGCTTTGTGGAAATGGGATCAAAAGTGGCCAGAACCAGATTCTGACACTTCCTGTAATTCTTCCTCATTAGAGGTAAAAACAGTAAAATCAGAAGAAGGTTTATAGTGACACAGAGGACACTTTGGTGCTGCTATGGTTAATGTCTGTTTTCCTGGTTAAGCTGGAACCTGTAAGTGGGACCTAAGCTGACCTCTGACCTCATCATGACTCTGAACCATGAACCTTGTTCTGGTGCTGTGGTTCCTCCACAGCTGAAACTCCCAGAGCAGTAGAGCCCAACAACACCAGATGAATGTTAGACAGGCTGACAGAGCAGGAAGAATCGACTGGAAACTCAAACCAGTCCCAGAACTCTGAACCCGAATCTGAATGAAGCTCTGCTTACCATCACATCCTGAAACATTCCACGTTACAGTTCAGATTTGACCCAGGCCTGGAAAACTGACAACCAAAAAAGCAGCAGAGATCTTCCATCGACAGACATCATTTCACCTAAATTCCGCTCTGAACTGTTTTAAGCTCATATAAAAAGCGATGTATAGTGGTTTCACTTCTTTATCAAACTGGACTCAATTCTGACATTCAGCTGAAGAACAATAAAGTGCAGTTGGTTAAAAAAAACAAAAAAACAAGTGAAAATGGTACAAGCAAGTGGCTAAAAACAGGCGTTTAAAACAGAGGAGCTGGGTGGAGCGGGTGAGGGGGCGGGGCCTCAGATGACCTGGCAGCAGCTGGCTGGAGCTGAGGTACACAGCAGAGCGTCTCTGGAGCCGCGCTGGATGTTAACAGAGATGCTCTTCTCACACAGAGGTAGTTGCAGCACGCCATTTTTCAGGCCGTGCAGGTTGCTGTGAGCGTCCCTGCTGCCGGGCGGCGCCCCCTTCTGGCGGAGGTGCAGCACGGCGTGGGAACGGGGCAGGCCGGCGGTGGGGAGGCCGATGGAGTCCAGGCTGTCAGTGGAGCTGATGCAGATCCTCCACGTTGGTTTCTCCTTGACGCCCCAGGGGTCCAGGATGACCTTGGCCCCGCCCCCTGCTCGGCCCCCCCGCCCGCTGCGCTGCTGCAGCTGCAGCTGCGAACTGAGGCAGAGGCTCATCAGCTTCAGACTCTCCACCAGCTCGGCGCCACGGCTCGCCGTGCGGGAGGGCCGGCTCGCCGTGCTGAGGGCCGGCTTGGTGGAGCTGCTGCAGCAGCTGGAGGGTCGATCCTGTCCCTGGTGGCCCCCTCCGGCACCCCCACCACCCCCTCCACCACTGCCACCTTCCCTCTCCCCGTTACCAGGGGGGCTGCCTCTGTCTGGGCCAGAGGAGCCGCCACCATCCGAGGGGGGCTTCCCCTGGCCGGAACTGCTGCCCCCCCCAGTACCACCTTCGCTGCCGGGGGGCCCCTCGCTGCTGTCCCTCCGGTTCCAGCTGTAGGTGAAACCAGAGTCCTTGTCCAGGCGCCTCCTGTGGCTCTCTGAGTCGTCGTCGCTGGTCTCCGAGCTGGAACAGGACGACCCTCGACCCTGGCTCTTGCGTCTGTGGTAGCGTTTCTGCGTGGGGCCGGGGGACGCGGCCGAGGCAGCCCCGGAGCCCACACCCCCAGCCCCGCCGGCGATGTTCATCTTGAGCCGGCTGAGTTTGGGTGGCAGACCCTCATCCATCTCAAAGTCGTCGTCCGATTCGCCCTCCTCCTCAAAGATCTGGTTGAGCACCGGGGCGCTCTTCCTGGAGGTGAGGCGGTTGGTGATGGAGGGAGGTTTCCGCCGCAGGATCACCTGGGTCGGAAGGGGCGACGGGTCCTGTTCTTCCTCCTCCTCTTCATCTTCCTCCACCCTAACAGCCACGCAGTAAGGACAGGGCCAAATTAGCAGAGGATCAAAGAGAAACAAATACACCAGATCACTGGATCTGCTGAGTTCAGATCCGAGAGGAGGTTGAGGTAAACTCTGACCTGAACAGACAGATCCTCTGCTTGGCTGCTGATGTGGAGGGACCTGCAGCTCTGAAGGTCCCAGCAGCAGCAGGGCCAGAAGCTGCTGCTGCACAGGCTCCCTGAAGCAAACACAACACAGGACAAGTGTTACAGAGATACACACACGCACGCACGCACGCACCTATTTATAAGGGCAGAGAAAATCAAGTGGCAAGTCAGCGACAAGAGCAGCCTGAACCTGCTTAGCCAATCAGGTCATCTGGATGATAAAGACCCTCTGAGTTATTTCAACCATATTTAACAGGTTTCTGGGATTTTATTTTTTCATCTCCGGGATATTATTAAATGGGCAGTGCTATGTATTTTCCAGACACATAATGCCATTTTATAGCACAATCAAGTAACTATGCTACCTTCAATTGTTAGAAAAATGTTTTATATGCAAAATATGTCAATTTTTTTTTACTTTCTAATTAACATAATGAAATTGGGCTTCTTTGTCTTTAAAAACTCCTGCTCTTTCTGAAACTCCACCTTGAGGAAGTCATCATGGTTCCTCTATTAACCCTTTAACAATGTTTTTATCAGCGTTGAGCTAAGAAGTAACTCTTGTAATGAGCTCAGCAGATGAGCCGTTCCACCAGGTGTTTGCTAATTACTGCTGGTTAGTCTGAAGGAGCTGAGTTTGGAATTTTTGGGGGAGGGCTACTCTGAGGCAGAAGCTTGGAAACTGAAGCTGTGAGGAGGAGCATTGTCCTTGAAGGCGGGGCTAGGTCCACCCAGGTGTTTTGCACAGCCTAATGGTTTCTATGAGAGATTAAAGGATTTCTCAAACACGCATGAAAAAAATCAAAGCAACACTTCATATATGTTTTTGATGAGTAAATAACATAACATGATGTGAAGCTCAAAGTCAATCTTAAATATTACTGCCCCTTTAAAATTAGAAACATCTTGTCAAAAAACCAGTCTACAAAATGAACTCAAAGACAAAGCACTCTAGATCAGAGCTTCTGTGTCTATCGGTCTTCAGTAATCTAGAGATACTTCCTGGTCTTACTGGAATCAACTACACATGTCCATTCATTAGGAGGCAGCATCATCAGGGAACATCCTGCAGTGCCATCAATACTACAGCTGATGGCTTTGTTACGGCTGCACGCTTTTGAAGCTGAAGGACAGGTCTGGTCTAGTCAAAGTACAACCCTTCAATCACTTCTGCACATGCGAGATGAAACATGATGGAAACCTGAGCTGAGTCGGTGACCGTGGCCTCCTCCCGCCGGCCCAGGTCCATCATGCCTTTGGAACGGTGTCCGTTCAGCAGGTTCTCTGCACTCCGGGCCGGGGACTGGGGGCCCCCGGCGTGCGAGATGGACGAGGAAGCCAGAGAGTCTTCTATGTCCTGATGCATGTCCATTCTGGTGGGCCAGGACTGCCTGCACACACACATCACACACACATGGTCTGGGTCAAACAAGAGAACACCTTGTCACATTACATTTGAGTAGAGCGACAAACTACTGTCACACCTGGTACAAGAGCTGGTAGCAGCTGCAGAACTGCTCTGATTAAATAAACCACAAATCAACACCAGAGGAGGAAGTGATCCAAACTTAGTGGTGAATCAGATTCCTTAAACCAACCACTAGATCTCTGCATGTGTTTGTGATTTCAGCTCAGTGTCAGTTCCTCAAAGTCCACATTTCTCCTCTTGTTCTGATGTAAATAAAGTTAACTAATGTTCTAGGATGTTGTGCTGATTCAAAAGAGACGTTGGTTGCCCTAGGGAATGGAGAAATGCAGCTCTAACCCTGCACACTGCTGGTCATCTGGCTGAAATGAGGCTGTTTCTCCATCCTTTAAAAAAAAGAGGAAAATGTAGCAGTTAGGGAGGAACAAACAGCTGCTCCCTGGACGCCAACGCTCCCGTTACTGCTGTAGGAAGACATGATGGTGGAGGAAAACAACTCTGGCATTGTTTTACTACACAAGTTGATGAACAGATAAGCCAAACTACCATTGATTTGTGCAAACTTGTCAAAAAATAAAAGATAATTCTGTGCAGTCACTGAACTCAGCATGCTGGCTGCATGAAGCTGAATATTAGACGAATGGTTGACCTGCTTTCATGTATTGATTCAACCAAAAATTATCAAATCACTTTGGAGCACAGTGACATTTTATTCCAACATGGTCCTTGAATCATTTCACTGATTGGCTGAAATCCCAAGAGCAGAGGTTAGGAGGACAGTGGGTACTAGCTTCGGCGGTACTGCTAAAATGGTTTCTACTCCATTCATGCATATTCAGGTATATGTGATGAGGAAACTATCAAAACATATCAAGCATTTTTAGAGGAGATCTCACAGTTGAGCTATTAAATGGTAGGTCCTAAATGCCTCGTTCACATGGCAAGATTTTTACGCCAATTTTTCATTCCGACAATTTTGAGGACAACTCAAACGTCAGGATGGCTTTTAAGATAAATTTAGGAGATGTGTGGTGGTCCTGGTCTGCTGAGAAGGATGCCAGGACCGTTCCGGTCTAAAGCTGTTGATACTGAACATGATGGATTGTCTTGGCCTGATATGGCAGCGTGTGTGGTGTTCCCTGATGACAAACAAGGATGCAGCCTGTTGACTGTGACATGTAGCCAATCAGAAATCGAGTTGATGGAAACACGGAGTGAATTTTAAATAAAGAAGACAAAACAATGGCCATGGTGCACCAGAACGTTCAAGCTGATGTCATTGCATCGTTTTGCCTCTGTTAGACATAATCCAAACATTATCATCGTTGTTTCTTCCCAGTCGCCCATGTTTGATTAACCTGAACTCCCGTTTGGTCTTGAGACGTTTTGCGAGGTTTCCCATCTGACATCTGAATGTTGGTGACTAAAATAAGAGTGTGTGTGTGTGCGTGTGTGTCTGTGGTTTGTTGCTCCTGCTGTGTTGCACGACACCCACTATATGATGAAACTTGTTATACCTACAATTTTGTTATACAATATTGTGTGTTTTCTCTCAGTTTTTAAAAATCGACAGAATACAAAAATCCTGTAGAGACTGAGTGAACCCTACAAACACTGAACCACTGTATTAAATTATTTCATTCTTGTTATTATTGCTCTTGCTTCAAATAAAAAGAAAATCATGTTTTCAGTTAGTTTTGAATATTTTACTTTGATAGAACCTTCATCTGTCTCACTGTGTAAATATGAGATATTTTAACTTGTGACATTAAAGCTGAGTTTCCTGTATGAGAATAAAACACTCCCACTTTGGATACAAGAAGCACAACACACACCTCCAGATGTCAGTGTGGTGTTTGGCTAGATTACTGTTGCTATGTACACAGCACTGGAAAATTTGCTGACACACACCTTCTCCCTGGTGTCTTAAAGCAGGTATGGCGTTAATGAGAACCTGGACATCCAGGTCACCATGGCAACAAACAGCTGCTTCAAACTGATTCGTCCAGTTATGTTGAGCAAAATATGTCTCAATGTGTGATCCTGCTAAGTCTCAGAGCAACAATGCTGGCAAGGAAGCATGGAGCAAATAGCTGAGGGATGAACCAAACAAGGACTCATCATCTTAGTTTATAGCAGCGTGAGTAATGGTCGAGGTCCAAGCTACCGCTAACACTGCTGGGAAGGAATGTGAGAATTAACAGACATTAGAAGTAATGATGGGAAATGATGATGAGACACAGATTGCTCTATGGCTCAGAGGATTTCTTTCCTCCAGTTCTCTGATCCAAGCAGGTGGAAGCTTGCTGTGACCACGCCAGGGCAGTTCCACACTTCACACAGCAGCTGCGTTTCCACTGACCATATAATTATGTAATATGACATTTCGAAAAGGAATTTGCTTAATGGAAGCACACCAATTTTGAAAAAAAAAAAAAAAAAAAAAAACAACAACTTGTTTTTCAATAAAAAGGTCTATTTTTTTGGTCGTATCAAAATTGGTTTATTTTGCAGAACTGCAATGGAAACACTAGTTTCTGCATCACACGAGTCACATGACCAACAACGGGATCTTGTCACTGGCTATAGCAAGTAGGTGAAAGATGTTTGTTAATGACGTATCACGTGGACAAGCTTCTTCACGTGTGGTTTTCATTGTGTTTCTTATTTAATAGAAACACAGCAATTGTTCTTTCATGTTCTTTCTACATTAGCGGAATATTGACAAAGTTTTGCCCACATCTGTAATGGAAATGCACTGAGTGACTCAGATCTTTACTTCGACAGTGACAGTGATGTTTAGCTACCACAGGTTCCTGACGTCTCCCTCGGCAGCGGGGGAAGCTGTTACCTGAAGTGTGCCTTGATGTTACTGGGGCTGGAGGAGCGGGTCTGGACCTCCTTCTCCTGCTTCTCCCTCAGGATCCGCTCTGCTAACAGGTAGTACGTTGCTGTGATGTGGTTGTATTTGTTGGTCTCCAGGGCTCTGAAACAGAACACACATGATGAGGAGAGGAGACAGAGGGCCCAGCAGGCACACTGTGGACCGATTCAAGATATCATCACTGTCCTTAAATAAAGACTGGTCACTTTTAGACAGTGATTTTTTTTTTTTTTTTTTTTGCCTAAATCATATTTTAACAATAAAAAGGGATGAACATTTTGTTTAGATAAAATCACTTTTGCCAAACAATGACTTTAGCCATTATTTTAGGAAAGTGACAGTATGTGAAACTGATGTTAGCAAAGCCAGCTAGCAATGTGCCTCTGTAAAACAAAATTCTTCACCTGGTCCTTACACAAAGAGATTTAGTCAATATTAGCTACACATGCTAAGCTAGTTACATACTGTGTGTTTTTGGACATAAGTTTCTGTTTATTGCTAGCTGTTTGCCACCTAGCTTGGTGTATTTGTGTGGGGAGCTCGTCTTGGTCTCAGTCACAATACACTGTAGTGTTGGTCTTGACTTACAAGGCTACTGTGGATTTTACGTAAAACAGAGCAACACAAAGCAGTGCAAAACTATGAAGTGGAAGGAAAATCATTCATGGTTTTAAAGAGCTTCTAAAAAGAAAAAAATCTGACAAGGAAAAACTGGGAACTTTGGTTTGCCAGCAGCCTCTAACAGGTTTTCTCTCACCATACAAACAAGTGACTTCCTATAATCATGTTACAACCGTGGATTCTACCCAACAGCACACTCTGCAGCATGTTTTTATGACAGTTGTATAAAGAGCAACAAATAACAGAGCATTTTAGTTTAGAGGGGAATGAAACATACTCCACTATAGCCTCCCGGTCAGCGATGTCTCCCAGCACCATGCGCTGGATGATGCTGTTGTGCTCCTCCTCTGACAGGTTCTTGTGGGAGACCAGAGGAGTGCTGTACTTGGTGGCCGGCGAGGGGTCCACCCCCTGCAGCCAGGTGTGGCTCTCAATCTCCTCCAGTGAGGCTCGGCGCTTGGGGTCCCTCTGCAGCATGCGGTCTATCAGACTGGGATGAGATGGAGAACCAGTTGAGAAGAGAAGGACAAGATACACTAAAGGTCAGAAGAGGAAGTAATGTCGTCTGACTGCTCATGTAGTCTCCAGGTCTTATTGATCTACGAACACTTTATGTGAAAAAGGTTTAATTCATCATAATTTATCAATTCTTGTGTTTTGGCTTCTTTTAGAGGTGCTTTCATTGGAGGAAATAATTTCCCTTTGCTGCTAAATCTGAGTTTAGACCTGACATTCAGTACCAGTGACACATTTAGAAGTTTTTATTGGAGAAATGTTTATCTTTAGAATGTCTGAGGTTTTTCTCAGCATGTGAACTCAAACACTGTCTCACTCAAACAAACACATCCTCTAATAATTAAGCTTGATCTGAGCCACAGGTCCACTGGTGTGAGCCATGCATGGAAGATCTGAGCATACAGTGTGTTGTGTTCACTGACAGTGGGAGATGTAGGCTTTGATGGAGCTGAGAATGTTTTTACATTTCTTCTAAATAGTCTTTTTCAGCAGAGCATGCTATTTTTTTCACAATATTTTTATTTAGCAAAACATAAATTTACAATTTTATAAAACATTTTTTGGCACCTATTGACTCTTAATGTCCATAGTGTGTGTTGGTGCAAGATAGTGCATCAAGAAATACAATACAATGCACTTACTGTCAGCTGTTTCGTTGGTTTTTTTGTAACAAAGGGAAAATACAATATTCAATTAAAAGTAAAACTGAAAACAAATCCAACCCCCTTCACATCTCAGCTCACCAACGTCAACACAAAAAAAAAATCTCATCACATATTTACATAAAAACAAAAGAGGACAGGAACAGGCACATTCAGTGGAGCAAAACCTAAGTTTGAAAAATAAGAAATAAAACATTGCAATTTCCTGTAAAACATTTTTGTACATCCTTGTAAAATGCATTTAATTTTCTCGAGCTTTAAAAACGTCTTGTCTTTAGCCCACAGAGATACTCAGGGAGATTTATCAGATTTCCAGGTAATAATAAAGAACATCTATAAAAATATAAAAGTAATGAGGAGGAGTCAAAGATAAAAATATAGCAATAAGTGGACAAGGCTGCAGATTCACTTTGATAACAGAAGAAATAATTAAAGACTGGACCAAAGGTCAGAGCATGCCATTGTTAATTTACAGTATTATTTACTGTACACCTATGTACACTGTACACATTATTTATTTATTTTACCCCTTATGTTCAGTCTGAACAGGATAATGCCGAGGATCCAGATGTCTGAGGCAGAGAGGCAACACAGAGGGACTGCCTGAATTTTTATTTCTACTTAAACTTTTACTTTAGTTTGAAAAGCAATTCTTAAACCTGTCGCAATAAGTGATTAATCAATTAATTGCATGGTAAATTAAAATGAGCTTGATCATTTCCATTCTTCTGATATATATATATTTCTTGAAGGGTGGTTTTGTTTAGAGTCTTAATTCATTTTATTTAAGGTTTCAAGGTTCTTTTTGTGTTTGCAGAGATGCGCTGTGCAGCGGGTCTCGCTCATCATGCAGGGCCGGTTCAATGTTGAATAAGGCCCTGAGTAGAATTTGACTTAGGGGCCCCTCTTGCTGCTAAGACCATCAGCACTACCAACAAGGTTTCAACATGGATTTAGTGAAACCTGGAGAGGGGGCCTAGTTTCATTGACTGAGCAGTCAAATGTAATTGTAGTTTACTAAGATCCAAAACAATCTAAATATGAAGATTGATCTTTGAACTTTTACAAAGTAAACTTGCCAGCTCCTTAAAATCTTAAATTGAAATTATAAACAATTTATAATCTCTTAATTTATCTATCCTGTAACCATTAAATCAAATTCAACAGCATCAGTATTCTTTTAGTTTGTTTATGCTTTGGGCCGGTTCTAAATGTGATCAGTATTACATTGAGTTTAAATTCACTGACTTAATTTGGATTTAACAGAAGTGCAAATAATTGATATTTATTTTAATTGTATTTATTTTATTTGTTGTTTTTAATATTCTGTAGTTGTGGGTTTAAGTACTGTCAGCAATGTTTTCCTGTAACATAATTACCCAGTAATATTTACGTTTCCTGTCAAATTACCATCCTTTAATACAAAAGCCCGGTGAACCGCCACGGTGCCCGACCACCAGGGTCAGCAAGTTTTCTGGGGAAAACCCTGCTTGTCTGAGTAAAAAGTGCTAAATAGAAGAAGTTTGATTAAATGTCATTTTTCAGAGGTACATTCGGCAAAGGGTGGAGAAAAAAACTCCACCTTAATAAATAATACATAAGTAAATAAATGAAGAATGAAGTGGAGAGGACGGCGGATCCATACTTACTCTCTGCAGGCACTGGAGACGTGGGCCGGTACAGTGTATTTACAGTCCATGATCATGGTGAGAGTCTCGCTGTCGTTTGCTTCCTGGAAAGGCGGCTGGCCGCAAACCAACATGAACAGGATCACGCCAAGGCTCCAGATGTCTGAGGCAGGGAGACACACAGAGGGACTGCCTGAATCTCCCATCACTCTAACAAAGACAGACCACTGACAGCAAACGCCTCACTGCCACAGCTAATACATAAACCACCGCAGCCAACAGCCCAAACAAACAGGAAACTCCATCTGCTAACAACAATAACGAAGCATCAAGAAATGATTCAGCTTAGCAGAGGCAGGATTAGCTTTTCAACACGTTCTCCAGTTGACAACCACAAACTTCAGTGGAGTTTAAACTTCAAAGGGATTTAATGGGATGGAGCAATACTGTAAGTCTAGCAGAAATCAACGTGAGTTTTTCACATGTTGATGTTAGAAGGATTTTTTTAGCTGCAGATGCATCATTGGCAACAAATGATCAAGAGTTCACTAAAGAAATGCTGTTATTGCATTTTAGTCAATAAAAAGTTTATTTTCTTATTTTGAAAAGGCATTGAACTATTTGTTTTTTTTTTCATCTTTTAATTCACTTTCAATATTGTATAAATAAGCTCAAGTGGTTAAGAGAAAAATCTACAGCTTGAGCCAAATTTTTTATCCGATTAATTGATTAATCATCCGAATAACCGACTACTAAACTACTTCTAGAATGCAGCTTTAATTTATTTACATCATAGATCTGAACACAAAGCCGCACCACAATGTCAAAATGTTCCATTACTTTTCCACTGTAATGTCAGGGTTTGTTGCTTGCTTGATTTTTTAATTTCCTTCATATCATGAAAAACTATTTGCATGGCCCTGTTGCTAAAAATCTGCTATAAAAATAAAACTGCCTTGCTTAATAAACTAGTGACATAGACATGTTATTAGAAAAAAATATATATATTAATTTGTAAAGGTGATAGCAGTCAAAACAACCTAACTTTATTATGACAAGGTCGACACACATCATTTCTGTATTTTGGTAGTTTGTGTCCTCCACAGTAGAGCACAGTGAGTTTACAGAAAATAAATAGTATCATTATTCACATTATCTTTCTAGGACCAAACTCCTCTTGGTGTGTTCCTTCACACAACAGCATGAGAACTGCTTACAAAACCTGGTGCAGCACAGAAACGCAACGTTTAATGTTTGTTTTCACAGCTGGGGGTTGAGTGATGTTTTTATGACATAAGCCATTAAACTGCTGAAATGTGCGAAGCAAATAAACTTGAACTGGTAACCAAAACAACTCCAAAGTTCGCCAAAGGATGGCGAATCAGACTTGTTAACATCTAAAGCATGTTTAGCAGCATGGTGTGCTGCTAAACATGTCATGATGTTTCACAAACTTTCGGCTTCTACAAGATATTCACATGAACTGTGGGTGCACCAATTTATTGGCGCCGATTTCCTTAATTTTGGGAGAGATGCGACCGGCTGAGACTTACATGTGAAGCAGATCTTATCCTGCAATCTTATCTACATCAGCAAAGGTCTAAAAATCAACCACTGTCCTCTTCTGCTCTGCTTTTAGAGAGGTTTGACTGTTAGCCCAGTCCACGTTTGCAGTTAACAACAGTCACCCCACTGTTACCAACTCAGTGACTTTCTTGCTATATTTAACATTTCAGAGAAAAAAATTGGCATTGGCCAAATTCAGAATGAGCAGGTCAAACCAGAAAACTGCAATCAGTGAACCTCCTCTGACAGGAGGGAGATCTTTGTGCAACTGCTGCACATCTGCTTCTACGCACATTCATCCTAACCACATCCGTTGAGCTCAGGCATGGGCTCGTGTGGTTACTACAGCCTGGGTCGGCATGTTCTATCTGCAGACTGCAGCCTGGAGCCTGATCCAGATCAAGATCTGAGGCCTACAGCTCCTGTTGCTAACTGAACAACTAGTGCTGCAGGGACACAATTCTAGTTTTTAGTGCACAACAGAGTGATCATGTGCTGGCCTCTCACAGACTCTACTATGGAAAACAGTCACCGTGGCCTATGATGCTCTGGTTAACATCATGTTCTGCTTTTCATCCAGGAAAATTTAAAGAAAACCATTCCACCTTCAGAACAAATCCTCTTTATATTTATTTCAATGTCACTGTTTGTTGAATATGTTTTTCTTTGGATGTGAACTCGTCAGTCAGCTCTAGGTTTCTCTAATTATTATTGCCATAAACTCTTTCTGACTTTGGATCTGGCCTTAAAGGGCCAGTATTATTTATTTTATTTTATTGCACAATCAAGTAACTATGTTACCTTCAGTTGTTATAAAATGCTGTATATATCAAATATGAGTTTAAAAATTTCATTATGACATTTAAAACCTTAATTGGGTCTCTGTCTCTTTAAGTACTCTAGCTCTTTCTGAAACTCCGCCTTCAGGAAGTCATCACAACAAACCACCTTTAAGTTTTTACTACCATTGCACTGATAAGTTTGCTAATTGCTCCTGGTGACATTTAGCCAATCAGAAAGCGAGTTGAGGGAAATTCTAAATAAAGACAACAAAACAACGACCATACCACACCTTAAGGTCTAGTGGACATCAGAAATGTCTATTGTTTTTTTCTCTGTTATACATACTCCACATATTATCACCATAGTTTCTTCTCAGTCGGCTATGTTTGTTCACTGAACTCACGTTTGGTCTTGAGACGTTTTGCGAGATTTCCCATCTGACTCACTAAATATAATGTGTGAGGTTTGTGGTTCAACACCACACTGTACGACCAAACCTTTTTTTTTTTTTAATCATCACATGCATACGTGTGTGTGAACCAGATGTTTATATACTTGTGCGGACCTATTTCTGTCTACATCATGAGGCAGTGGAGACCACTGCTTCTTGTGGGCACAAATCCTGGTCCTGATGAGGGGAATGAGGTTTCTGGGAGAGGGGTTAGGTATGTGATGGTTCGGGTTAGGCTGTCGAAAATCAATGAAAGTCAATATAAAGTCCCCACAAGAAATGAAAACACGACTGTGCGTGTGCGTGTGTTGTAAGACCTTGCTGTCTGAAACAGGAATTAGAAATAGTGATTTAACATGAAAAGGAATATAATGCCTGAACATAAATTAATTTAAACCAAGACATTTACTGGTTTGAAAGTTATCTGGTCATGTCTGCTATTTGTCTTTCAATAAGCACAGTCATTGTTTGTCCCACATCTGTCCAATGATTTATACTCAAAGGCAAACTTTGCTACACTGAAGTCTGTTTTTCATTAATTTATTAAATTTGGCTAAATACAGGAAGCATTTTCATAGACAGACTAAATCCTGATTTTATAGATCAGAATTGGCTAAGTTAGGTTGTTCTTTTCCAATCGATATCTAGAAAATGTGTAAAATTTCTTCCAAAAAAACAATCCTGAAAAACACTGTAAGTTACACATTCCTTTCCAGAGGCAAATCTGATTACTTTACTTGTTTAATTAAAATATTCACAATTCTTAGAGACTGTTGAGTGGATAAGCCAAAAATGTTATTTGGTCCTTAAGTCCTATTGACTTTATGATTTTTCAGCTCATGTGACAAAACGTTTGGACACCAGTGATGTATGGCTACCTGCTAGGAAAAGCGTGAGTTTGCTGAAAAGCAAAATGCGACCTAATCCTGTGCTGCTGGAGATGCTTCAGACTTTACCACAGTCAGTCTGACTGACATCACCTCCACTTGGCTGCTAAATATTCCAGTATCTCCTTACTGGCATTACACTTCAGAGCAACATGCAGTTCCTGAACAGTGAAATGTCTTCAAGAGAAGTCCATGTGGATTTGAGATTTTAAGGAAGAATTTCTACAATGTAATCACAGATTCTTCAGCCGCACCTTTCAAGTTTCTGATAAATATAATAGAAAAGCGGAAACAGAGAACAGGTTAAATTTAAAAGTGCTCACTGCACTGACACGTGACTGATGAGAGATTTTTCAGCATCAGTGGCGCTCTCACAGCACCACATACTTAAAAAAAAAAAAAACCTGCTTAACCGGCCACATTATCTGACTTTAGTTTCTACTTTAAATAGAACAGGCTGGTGTGAAAGGTATGATGTCCTGTAATGAAAGGACAACAGTAGTGTCTGCACTCTGCTGGTCTCCATGGGAAATCAATGAGACAGTTAATTCAGTGCAATGGGACTCCCACAGACATGATGAGATTGAACACAGCTGACCTTGCACCACAGACCCAACAACAGGACGAGCGTCAGGCTCAGCACCCTGCAGCATCCTGCAGCTCCAAAGGTTCTGCTACACAGAACCCATCAGAACACACAGTCACACCACCGGGTTAGAAAATACCCTTTTGAGATATTCCAGCTTTCCGAGATGCATTTCTAAAAAATATTTTAGATACGTTTTGTGAAAAGAGTCCACGTATAGACTAATTTTCCACAAACAATTTGGAGCTTTGTTCCACACAAAAATCTGTGAATAGATAAAAACTGAACCAAAACAGTCAGGTCCCCTTACATCTACATAAACTGCTAGAAGAGGAACAGAGCTCATGTTATCTCTGTGGTTTAAATTAAGTACACTGAAAATAAAACTAAGAATGATGCATGAAATATTTTGAGTGGTTTTCAGTCTCCATGAGCTCACTTACTCTTCCTGATGAAAGTGGTTCTCTCCTCTGACTCAACTCAACGTTACTGCTTAAAAAGGAATGGTTTCACAGAGCCAGAGCTTCTGGAGGTAAGAAACCCAAAACAACCTGTGCTAAACCAACATGGATCCTTTTAGCGCTGGAGCTAATGGATGGAAAAAAAAAATCCAGCGAGAGAAGGTTGATTATCTAAACCATACTGACCTTATGCCTGGTGGAAAATATACATCCACTGTAAAGAAATGGTTCACATTCTGTTTGCTCATGGGCTCCTACTCTTGAATAATTTCCTCTAATTAACAATGTGACTCACTGCGGCACGTCGCCTCGGGTTGCTACGTACCTACGGCTGGAGCGTCGTACTCGTCGCCAAGGAGGATTTCCGGAGCAGAGTACGCCAGAGAGCCGCAGCTGGTGGTCAGCTTCTTCCCCGGCTGAAACTTGTTGCTGAAGCCAAAGTCGGTGAGCTTCACCAGTCCTTGTTTCTCGAAGAACACCACGTTCTCAGGCTTCAGGTCCCTGTGCACCACGTGCAGTCGGTGGCAGTAGGAGATGGCGTGGACGATCTGGGCAAAGTACTTCTTGGCCAGCTCCTCATTCAGGCCCTCCTCATGTTTCATGATGTAGTCGAACATATCTCCCCCGTCTCCCAGCTCCAAGATCAGGTACAGCTTCGTCTGAGTGTCTATCACTTCGTACAGGCGCACGATGTTAGGGTGCTGCACCAGCTTCATGCAGCGCACCTCCTGGAAGAGGTGGCCCGTCGCCACCGTGTCCAGCTTGGTCTTGTCGATGACCTTCACCGCCACCTTCTCCCCGGTGAAAACGTGCCGCGCCAGCTTGACCACGGCGAAGTGGCCCCGCCCCAGCGTCTTGTCCAGGTCGTACAGGCCGGCAATTTTGCCATCGTATCCCCGCTTGAAGCCCGCCATGACTGGAGAGGGTGTTGGGGATAGGGGAGCGCCCCCTGCAGGCCGGGGCAGCTCGCTGGGCTCGCGTGGGTCCAGCTTATTTCGGTTCATCCGAGGCTGAAGAGGAAACCCATGGCTCCAGTTTCCTAAAGGGGAAGAGACACAAAGTAAACGTCCGACTCCTGGCATTGTTAAGTTAGGCATTTCCTCAGCTCATCGGTCTGAGGCTTTGAAAGATTTACAGAAGGGTTCTTTTTCCAGACAAGAATGATTACATAAGGGATGCAACTACTGATTATTTTAGTTATTCTAATAATCTATTGATTATTCTGACAATTAGTCGGATAAAAAAAACGGGTAGATTCTGGAGATTTTTCTTAAGCCTTTTTTTATACTATATCAGAAATACCTTCACGCTGCAGTACATCACTTTTTTTAAAATAAAAAAATATTTTTTTTTTATAAATTTGTTAAAATTATCATTATGTGGTGACAGTGTTCTCTGCCTTCTCCCAGTACTAACTACAGAAATACACCAGCCAGAAACAACCAATCAGAGTCGAGAGAAGGGCTTCAGCGCTGTCAGTCCCTCAGGTGCTGACCCCACTCACTAGCTCAGTGGTGACCAAAGTTGGTCCTTGAGGGCCGCCATCCTGCATGTTTTAGTTCTCTCCCTGGTTTAACGCACCTGCATCAAATAATGGCTCTTTAGAAGGCCTAAGAATAACACTGACATGCTGAGGAGGGACAGAACAAAAACATGCAGGATGGCACCACTACTCTAGCTCTTTGCTGGTTCACCACAACATTGCCTGCCAAGAATGCTAAGGCTAGTTAGTGGAAGGTTGATTGACAACACTAAACCCTGCCTCCTGGCTCTTATTAGTTGTTTTTGACAGGGAGCGGTGATTTTCGCAGATCGCAAAAGGGACGAGGTGGAGGATCTCTTTTTTTTTTTTAACAGATATCGAAGAAATATATTTTTGTAAAAGTTACACACTGTAGCTTTAAAAGATGCATCAATTCCTTTTCCTATTGCTTAAAATGCAATAACAACATTTTATTAGTTTACACTATATTATTTGTAACAAAGGATGGTTCTGCAGCTAATACTTCTAACATCAGCATGTGGAAAGCTCAGGCCTTTCTGCTTGACTTATCAACATAATAAGATAGCAAAAGGTGCTTGTTGAAAGATTTTATTTTATTACCCAATTTGAACATGGTGAAGCTAAAATGTGGCATTAAGAGTTCTAGGTTGAACAAATTTTCATTTTTTTTTCCTTAAATGCAAAATGTATATATATTCTACACACTTTTTCTACACACTCTGAATGTGTTGTTCTTTTTTATTTCCTTTATGTAATCAGGTAAAAACCCCATTGGGATCTACATCTTTTTTCAAGAGGGACCTGGACAGAAATCTGCAGCACATAACAACCTGGTTACACAAAAGTAAAACAAATTTAAAACAGTTTAAAAGAATATGACATTGGTTAATAGAATCACACTGCATGTTTTTAACAACAGCTCAAAATTTTTCTTCAGTTAGCAGCTAATTGATTACTAAATTAGTTGATGATTAATTCAATAATTGATTCAATGTGATTAATCTGATTAATTGTTTCATCCCTATGCTATACAACACAAAACAGGAAGGATTTTTAAATTTGACCATTGGGTGCACAAATCTCAATTTAGTGTGGAACTTTCTCAGAAATACTTTCAAATGTACGCTGGTCAAAATATTTCAAAGACTGGTACTAAATAAAATAAAAATAATACTTTATTGATCCCCTAAAAGAGGGTGGGGGTTGTTGTCCCAGCAAAGCAGACAATACAAATTAAAATAAATAAAGTAATATGAATAAACATACAACAATAAGCCTTAAAATAGAGTCAGAAGTCTTAACTAGACAATACTTTCTCTAGGATTTATTTGACAGCCAAAACTAATCAAAATCACTGAAGTCTTCAGAACCTAGTAATGTTTTAAGGATTCCTCCAACCACCAAAACTGAACACCTTGGAACTGGGCTTGAACTTGTGCCAAATCCCCTTTCACTAAAAACTCCAAGGCCGGATTAAGGTATGAGTGTTTTATGCAGTCAGTCTTTCAACAAATCTGAAGAGGCAAACAAGATTTTTGCTGTATGACAATCATCATTACTATAATGACATGCAAACAGCTTAATATCCATGCAGCAGAGGCAATATTTCACAACTGTCCAAGAGTAAACGGAGCAAAAAAAAAATGTACTAGTCCACTTTACAACATGTTAACAACATAATAGAGATAATCTATAAATTCATAAAGCTCACCCATAAATCAACAGTGAGCTGGCAGAGGTGCTGTCAACGATCACTAACGTTCAACTGTTTGTATAATTGGAATCCTGAGTTGATGACTCTCCACAATAAAATGTAACGTCTACACCCAATTCTTGTTTATAAAAGCCACTGACGCTTGTAGTATGATTATTGCAGTCTAAAAAAAGAAAGAATAGCATAAATCATAAACACAAATCTAATCACATTTATGAGCTGATGTCAACGTCTGGCCGCAGCTGAATCCATTCTATTACACAGCATGTCTGTTTCCGGGCGCTGTGAGGAGGTTGGGCTTGTTTTGACAGGATGGCAGCTGCATTAGCCTACGAGCTACTCCACATCCGCTGCCTCCTGTTGGGAACCGCAGCTAAATTTTAAGGGACATAAGCGACAAAACAGACACAGTCCAAGCACAGAAGTTTTGGGAAAGCTAGCTTAGTAATCGGCTGGCTCAGTTAAATTAACAGTTAGCCTAACATCACCCCAGACGAGCCCCGGTATTCATTGATTTAAATCGTTAGCTTAAAGACCAATTGCAGTTAAGTAGAGTTCTTTATTAGACACAAGCTCACACTAACAACCACACAAAGCCATTTACAGTTGCGTTACACCGCCGCGGCCAAAGGAGCTTTGAGACAGCGAAGTATCAGATATTCCACTGTTAGCTCCTGTAAGCATGTAGCGGTTAGCATGCTAGAGTTCCTGCGGTACGTTGCGCTCCGCTCCTTAGTCTCTTCGGCACACATTAGACCCAGAATCTGGCTTTCGCCTGTTACCGGAGCTCGCGAAAGACATTTGCTACCATTTATAAGAAATCTGAAAAAAAGAAAAGGTCAGCGCACCTTGTTTTTGGTGACCGCGGCACCCATGAAGCCCCTAAACCCAAGATTCATCCGTAAGACGGGACATCGCATCGTTAGCAACGGCTGCGCTGTTCGGAATGGCTGTTTCCTCCCAGCCGGGGCAGGGGGCAGAGACGCGACGTTCAGGTGCTTAACATAGTGTCGATATTTCTAGATATCCTTATTTACTCCGAATAATTTACAAAGTGGTTCACTGCTTTTAAACTATTCCCATGCTGTTCAATCGATATGCGTTATTTCGACCTCGGCGGAGAAAAGAAAATTATATTTTAAATCCATTCACATTTTTTAATCAACAGAAGCTTCAGATACCGTTTAATTTTGTTGAATACTTAAACTTCCTAACTGAGGAAATCAACCAAACCACAAGATCTTACCAGATGTTATTGAACGCAGCAAAGGAGCATCATCAACTGCATTCAGCTTTGACGTCAAACGGACTCTTTTGATGGTAAAAGACCGCAGCAGGATAAACAAGCAGCTCAAATGTAATACAAATGTTCAGCGCGTAATGACGTTGTAATTTTGATTTTAAAATGTGTTCTAGGGATACGTGAAGCACAACACCCCATATTTTTATCGATATGTCCTCCAATGTGATGATAAGCATTACACTTTATGTCTCTGTGGTGTTGCATAATTTCCTCCCAGACCTGACACATGTTATTGTGTGTAAAGCGCACAGCGACATCCAGAGACGAAAAGTCAGATATGTCCATCTAGGAGATCAGACCAGCATCCCTCCTGAGCCACCCTATCTTCACTTTAACTTAGTGGTCATGGTTGTAAACACAATACCCCCTTATACACGTCACAAATTAATTAGATTGCAGCACATAAAATTGATTTATCCAAGAAGCTTTGTGGCTTTTTGGGCCAGTCTTGTAATAGAGGGAAGAGAACGAGGCACCAAAGATCTCTTCTGCTGACCACCTGGCACTGGAGATGTGTCAGCCACACTGTGATGCAGTTGATAAGAACAGATTCCTTGCTAGTACAGTAAAACGAGGTAAAGATTGAGACTGGAGCTTCTGCTATTTTTGATTTTCACAAAAAGTAGAGACATTGTTGGGCCTTCTTTGCCAATAAAGTGGCGTTTTATTGTTTTTTGTTTTTACCTGAACTGGTTCTCTGTGATGTGCACGCGTTTGACTGGTGGGCTACTGATGACCAATGGGATGTGTTTGGTTTGTGTTTTCCTGAAATAAATTATTATTTTCTTTGTTTTGATATATATTTGCAGAATTTACATGCACGCACAAGCGCGTACTCACAAACACACACACACGCACACGCACACACACGCACACGCGCACACACACACACACACACACACACACACACAGAGAGAGAGAGAGAGAGAGGAAATACGAAATTGCTCAGAAAAATTAATCTGAGTCACCACATTTTCTGCAGGCTACTTTTTGAAGGTAAAATTTTTGCTGCTGAATATAAACTAAAACAAAAATCATACATAATGTTATGAACTCAATGTCTAAAAATAAAACTATATTTTCTTCCATATTATTCTAATTATTACATCATCCTTACATACATTATCTAAACACGCTTTTGTGTTACGGTAATTTGGAATCAAACTTTTTAATGTCTCAAACACATCGGATACGAATGCACACTAGAATCCATCATACTGCTGTTTTTCTCTTTTCATACTCTAGATGGCGGTGTTGCCATAATTTGGCGTTCTGTTGTGTCCTGACAGTTCTATAACTGAATTTGCTGCTTGCTTCTCAACCTGATGAAGAGGTGAAAAGAAAACATCATGTGTTTATTGTCAACTCATTAACTGAAAATAAATGTATATCTTTATACCTAATGTGTCACTAAACCACAAGAGGTTAACACTCCTTTTTATTTGTTTTCCTTCTCAAGACTCTCAAGCAAAACAAGGAAATGGGAAGGTTTATTTTCTAGTAATGTCTGTTCTTCTGTTTGACGGGAGGCTTCTGAAAAGAAGGGAATATCAGACCATTAGTCTGATTCCAGAGATGAAGAGGATTGATGTGTAGTGTTGTTTTATTGCTGTCTACTTGACCAGATGAGTGATGGTCTCCTGCTGTGGCTGAGGTTGGTGAACTCACGATGGTGTCACCGTCTCCTGGAGGTGTTTCCAGGTGGAGTAATATGTGGGTCACTTTGTCATTTTGAGGCTTCTCCTGCATGCTGTTGTTTAGGAATTACCACATTTGCACATTTAACAAGATTACTATAATGCAGCCTGGAAGGAAAACATGAATGAACTGGTTGATATCGCAAAATTATGCAGGGAATAGAAGGTTCATTACATGTATTTATGTAAATACAGGCATTGAGAGAATATGTCAGTAATTTCTGACATGAAAAGCATGAGCATTATTATTGGGCAAGGCAATTTTATTTCGACAGCACCATTTGTAGATGAGTATATCTAAAGGTTATCAAAACAAAGACAGAAAATCAAAACACCTTTAAGAAATCACTTATGCATTGCATAAAAGAAACAGACGGTGTGAAAAACAGTTATTAAAAACGTACTTTTGATTGATTTTTAAATCTACAGGTACAAAAATGTTCCACTGCATGAGAGAAAGTCCTGATCCTCATGTATTCATACATTTGTTCTTCAGTGAGATCAAAACAGGCCACTTTTGCTCGTTTTATTATTTTTTTTGCCTTGACCTATAGGTGGTAGCACTGATCATTTAGCAACCCAAGCAGAAGGCAGAGACAGGAAGGAAAAGCTGAAAGTCAATTACTGTTTTCTTTCCATATCAAGTTTTAAAATACAAACGATTCAGAATAAGACATTTTCCCCATCTAATCTCTGTAACATTGACTCTGCCACACTTCAAGTCCAAACTCAGAACTCATCTGTTTTAGGTAGATTACACTCTTTGATTGTAATCGCATTGTCTTTTTAAATCTTCAATTGTACTTCAATGTTACTATGTATTTCAATTTTGTGTTTGTTTTTATGTTAAATTATGTAAGGTAACCTTGAGTGTCAAGAAAGGCGCCTACAAATAAAACGTATTATTAATGTTTTGTTCCACTATGTAAACTTATTCAGTTCAACAAAGGCCGGGCTTTATTAGAGCTCCACCTGAATAAGTATTTTTGATCACATTTTAAGATTTATTGCCTCTCAGTGTTAGGGGTAGGATGTGTAGACTGCAGTAATGTCTTGAGAAAATAATTGGTAATGCCTGTAGAAGAAAGTTCTTAATGAAATATTTATATATGTACACACTAAATAACTCATTCAACAGGCAAAGACACATAGTGTAACAAAAAACTATTTATTAATTCACAGGTCTTGGGGAAAAAATTCCATCTATTTCTAGTGTAGAAAACAGACATTCTGGTTTTACTCATGTCTACAGGAGTGACAGGAAAACAAAGAAAACTAACCAACAGCACAGACACATATCTAATCCACCACAACCTGCGTTTGCTGCAAAGTCTTCAAATAATCTCTTAAACATGCACTAACCAAAGGAACCTATGTTGGTGGCAGTGTTTTTGTTCATCTTATATTTCCATAGAAATATCTTGATAAATCTCATTTACTAAACACTTTAATTCAATGACATAAAGGAGAAGCACGACACTGCAATTTATCGGCAAATGATGACATTTGACAGGCAACCATGAAGTTGAAAGGAAACCTGTGAGGCTGGCAAGTTTTATTACGATGAAAATGATGCACAGACTGGAGTCGAGGAAGGCATCGCTTAATACTAAATACTGCCAGGTGAAATAATACTGCACAAAAACTGATTGACTATTATTTTTGATTAGCACCAAATAAAGAAAAAGAAAGTACTTTAGTGTTCGATATTTAAAGTGTACATTGCTGTAAACAGTATTTGCCCCTACTGTCTTTTAATAATCACTCTGTAGAACAATTGATTGCTGTAATGTAATGAGCATTAATACAAACAAAATATATTTAGCAGTAATTGAAGGAGTACTTAAACATGTCTTGAATAAGTCTACATATTCAATATAACATTGGGGAACTGTGCGTATATATATCTTTTTTGCCATCAGTCTCTTTCTATCTTTCAGTCTTTATCTATTGCATCTTTTTCTTTCTCAGTAACTATCGGATTTCATTACAGAGACCACTGTCACTGGGGAGGGAAAACTGTTGATGGTTAGTAGTAACAATGTTCATCCATCTATCACTTGCTTTACATGTACCCGGGGTCAGCAGCCTGGGTAAATGAACTTCCCTTTCGCCAGCCATTCGGGCCAGCTCATCTGGGGAAATCTCAAGGTGTTCCCAAGTCAGTCGTTAAACTTAGTCCCTCCATCGTGTCCTGGGTCTTCCTCTGGGACTCCTCCCAGTAGGACGTGCCTGGAACGCCTCAGCAGGGAGGCGTCCAGGATGCTGAGTCTACACTTTAAGTTTGCCAAGCAAGCGGTGTGGCTTTTATGTTAGACGTGTAATATTTTCCAAAAATGAGCCCTCGTAGAGGGTTCTTACAAATATCGGTACAGGTTAACCTGCTCCAAATGAGTGACCCACAGCAAGTTACAAAAGTTCGGAGGAGCACGAGCAGGGCCCTGGCAGCTGCACAAGGCCACCATAGGCTACCATAAGCTAATCAGTTAACTATAAACCTAGTTTGAGAGTTTAGAGTTCAAAGTAGCGGAGCGACCACGCAGGATCAGAAATATGTCACGATGTGATCTAACCTAACTGTGAACACCTATGTCGATCTTCTATGAGCGGACGCCGGTTATGTTCATGGGGCACCTCCATTGGATAATGGTAGGAAAAATGCTGGAAGGTCTAGCAAACAGTGTGTGATATTGAATTTAAGCACATACTGCAGAACTAGCATCCAAAACACACCAGCAAGTCAATTTCTTGATGCTTTTAAAAAGGCCTTTTGGAGTGGCCAAGTTAAAGTCTAGATTCCAATGATGAAAAGACTCATTACCAGTTATCAAAAACACTTTATGGCAGTTGTTGGTAAGGATGGAAGAAACAGTCATTATGTTTGGTAGGTAAACTATTGGTTTGGATAAGTTTTAAAAGCATTACTTGCAAACTGTCTTTTCTGTATTCACTCTGGTTGTTTTTTTTTTGTATCAGATATTAATATTTGATGATTTGAAATATTTAAATGAGACAAGAAAACAAAACAAAAAAACACTGAACCAGATAGGGAGGTATGTACTTTTCACTTCAAGATAAATGATAACATTTAACAAAATTAAGAATAGGCAGTGCTTTACACGTATCTGAACATAGAGTTTAAAAGAAGGATTTTTGTGGCATGGGCTAAAATCTTTTACTGAAACTTTTTCCAAATACTTTAAAGGACTGACTGTGTACATTTCCAAACCATCTGACAGATGAAACAAAGTTTATTTAAGTTACAAGTAAACGCAGCAGGTATAAACTAAGTTTATAGAACAAGTTGGTTTGATTTTGGATGGATTGTGTACATTATGAGTAATTTATGGAATCATCCGTTCGCACACACACTTCAGACAAGTCAGAAAAATGTAAAAAAAACCTTGATTATCTATATAACATCTCTTCACCTACAACACAGAAGCTACATTGCATACTCTAAAAGGTAGAATCCAGCGTATAGACTAATCCTAAAATCTCATAATATTCTTCTCATAAATACATCTGCTCATTTAAGTTCTTGTATTATCAGTAGAGGAGTTTGAAAGTGTAATAAATAAACTTCTCAGTTTTCATCACCCAGTAGCAGAGGAGTCCTCCAGTAAAGACGGAGAGAGTCTTCACGTCGGCTTTGTCTGTCCTGGAACTGCAAAGATCTGTTTAACACCATTTATTTACCAAGACTAATCAAAATCTAATCAAGCAGCCCCTTCCAGTGAGGTTGTAGAAATTGACAGGGTGGCTCTGTGATTATTAGGTCCGACATGTTAGAACGTCTGCAAACGGACCTAAGAGGTTCTTGTTAAAGATGCACCTCACCCACACCAGGTAGGTAGTAAAGGGCTTTATGTTCTCAGAAAAAGTGTAATTCTGTTGAGGAAGGATATAAGGCATGTAGGTGTTTTCTCCCTGCTCCTGGATCCATACCTCGTACTTAACCTCTCTCACCTTCAGGTACTTTAGATTCCACGGGATCTGCCAAGAGACTGTGAGTTTGGCCTCATTAGGGGTTTGTACTGATGTCTGACAGTGGGCTTCTCTGACCCGGCCAGGGTGAACTGTGGTGGCTATCTTTGTTTTTTTCAGGCTAGGCTTACTCTTCATGCCATCTTTGAGGACCTTGAGGAATGACGGAATGTCTACCAAAGTATCCTGGTAGATCCGGAAAAGCCACTCCGGGTTCCTGCAGCACAGGTGCCTTGGGACGTCCGTACTTGTCAGGATGCGCTCCTGCTCATCTTTTTCTAAGTGGGCAATGCCGCCTTGCTCCCACGGTCTGTCTGGATGGGTGACAGTGTTTTCCTCCTTAGAATTCCTCCAAAAAATGTAGTGAAGGTCCATGCCTGGTAGAGTGGCGAGGGTTTTATATGGAGTATACTGCTCTGGGTTCACAGCAAAGGGGAACAACTCTACCACAGTTGCACCTCTGGGGAGGAACACTGAGGTGACGAGCTGAGCTCCATGCATGCTGACCAACATGGAAGCAGAGCTAATCACCTGGATGATACTAGGAAAAGACTGCTCCTCCAGGGATACTGTAACCACTCTCATCTGGAACTCCTGGGCTAAGGCCATTATTAGCTCTGCTTCATTCAGAATTAATCTTGTGGTCGAGCGACTAAACACAGCGATGTATTCATCTTTCTTGTCTCTCTCCCTCTCTTGCTCTGAGCTTCCTCCATCCTTCTCTGCCTCGTCCTGCTTTGTTATGTTCATTTTCTCCATTAAAGCCTTGGCAAAATGTCTGATCTCATTCCCTGAAACCAAAATGTTGGCTTTGGGCCCCTGTGGCTGAACAAACCCATACTGATACCAGGTGGTCATTTTGGACAAACCAACATAAGATTTAGTAAAACACATTAATTTTCCAAAGTTCCTCAATTGCTCTTTAAGAAGTGGCTGCTTGCTGCTGAGAAGTCGATAGAGGTCGAAGTGCGGCCCTTCACCCCAGCCTTCCATGAACACGAGACGTGCCTCATCGTCCAAGTCGGAATACTGTTTCATGGTAAAGAAGGCAGGGAGAAGATCATCGTGGAATACGTGCATAAGGTTATCCGGATTGAATCTGTTGAGGATCAGAGTCACATCTGGTACAAAAACAGGTTTGGGCATGAACTTTAAAGCACCAGCTGGGAGTTCTAAAAAGTTAAAATATTGGGTGTTGTGATCCTCTACTGAGGATAAATCTAGTAGGGCAGGTTGAAAGCGCCTAGATCCAAGATTAGGCAGCATGACAGAGGAGTTGGAGTGGAAAAACACAAACTCCTCTGCCTCGGAGGAGTAGCACAAATAGTCAAAGCGGCAGATGCGGTCGGTGTGCATCTTGCCAGTACACACCATGCGGGTGCCATGTTCCTGGAGAGATTGCAGGGCAACATGGTAGTCGATACGGGCCTGAGAGAGCTCCTTGGACTGCTGTGTCATATGCAACTCCTCCTCCAGTGAGGCTGCATGCTCGCTTAGCTTGGAGTACTTCCAAAGTAGGGCTGCAATCACGGAGACGAGTAACCCATTAATTAGTGCACCAAAGCTCATCCTGCAGCCCGCCACAGAAGCTCGCATCACTGCAGCCACTGAGGACCCGGCGCCCAACTCCAACTGGCCTCCAACCTCAGAGGGAAGTGGCAAAACATTAACTGCCAAACAATGACCTGAAACAAAGAAGAGAATATAGAGATGAGGGAAAATTCATTGGTATCCCATTATAGAACAGCAAAAAAAAAAAAAAAAAAAAAAGCTCCTTATTGCAGTAGCATCATCATACTGAACAGCTTGTTGACAAAGGCATCAAAAAGTTGCAGGATGGAAACTCTCAAGGACTGGACATTGGCTCCCATAATCTAGAAAGATTAATAAAATCTACCTCTTTCTTTATACTACAATGCTGTGAAATGGACCTGCTGGAAGACTTGGTACAGTTCAACAGTAAACAAGAGGTTAAATAAAGTGTAGAACAGCTGGGGTGCCAATAATTTTGTCACTGCTAATTTGGTTTAAAAAAAAACAACAACCTTAAAACGAGATTAGTTTTTAAAATATTGAATAAATATACTTAACAGATGTTATGCTGCTGCTGTAATAAAATGTGAATTAATCTGGAGGCTGCTTCCACGTCTTTATCAGAGCTGCCAATAAATGTAGATGAAAAGAAGGAACGTTTTCTGTGACTGTTACACATGAATACATCATTTATGCATATCTAAACAGAGCTGTACATAATTCCTTCCTGCCCTGTAGTTTGCCTTTAGATGTAACAGAGCACAAACAACTGACCTCCAGTCAGTAAGTATCAAAAACAAATATAATTTGCATTCATATTACAGTTGCACAATATACTGAATTACAAAAGCCAATATAATAATTGTAAGCGACTGCTTGGGACACAATATTTGGTAGAATACTATATTTCATTAACGTTTCAGCTGTCAGGCATTTACACTCTGCATAATGATAATATTTGGCCCTGAAATTATGTTTGGTGGCGATGTGTATTGGAAAAGAAGGGATAGTGTGAGGAAACTGAGGAATAATTCTCATCCATGTCTGCATCAGGTTTAAGCCAGTCTTCCCCTACCCTGATCCTCTTGTTTCAGTCCAGATGATTTCAATTAACAAGAGTTTGCTGAACTGTAATCAGCTGAATCAGGCAAATTAAAGCAGGGAAACATCTAAAATATGCAGGGCAGTGTGCCACAAGGACCAGGATTGAGAAAGTGGTTTAAGCTATAATGTAAATAATAAAAAAAACATTTCTTGATATTGTGCAACTCTGATTCATATTCCCATTTTGTGTGTGAGATTATGCTACTTCTATAAGAGAGAAATTAATTTAGCACATTTACAATTTGGGGTACCAATGAATGTGGATAAGTCTGTAAGCTAAGGAGAGTAAATACCAGTCTAAAGAAAAACATCAACAAATATGTTTGTTGAATCTGAATCAATCCTCTGAGTAAAAATGGGCAAGACACTAATACAGTGTAGGTATGTTAGTGAAGCAAAACCAACAAATCAATACACAGACCATATTCCATCTTTATATAAGATGGATTCAGACATCCATCGTGTGGTCTTAGCTCTCACCTTTGGAAACAATCTCCCTTTATTTTTACAAACCTATTCTCCTCACCTTATGTCCACTCTGATATGTCAGGACAAATGAGACTGCGAGCAGGCACAGCAAGGAACATTGCTCTCTGCTCTCCTCATCTGCATACTGAGAGAACAAGTGAGTCATTGAGACGCCAAATCAAAGGAACAGCTAATGGCCAGCAGCTGCCTGAACACACAAAGCAACTGGCATGCTAAATATCCCTTTAAGTGCTAGTCTAATTAGCTAAACAGACTTACATCAAGTTTATTCTGTTCAATTCATCATCATGCAATCACTAATAATGATAAATAATGATATTAGTACACACTAATAATGTCGTAGTGTCTGTCAGAAGCTGGTCTCTCAGCAGGGGCTCAAACTAAACTAAGGTAAGAGTCATTGTGGACACTGAAATCTTAATTAATTAATTCACTAAGCTTTGAACAAAATGCCCCTTTAGCACATACACTGAATCATTCTGCCCATGTTGCCATCATGCTGCTGCTCTCACAGCACTACCAGTCTGCAGTCTTCCTTACTCTTTCCATTCAGTCCCTGAGCTATTTCTGACATCCATGCAAGTGCAATGTCACTGGCAATAGGGTCACCTTTTTAGTTCAAACTCAATGGAGACACACAGGCACAATGCAGGCACAGTAAGAATGAAGCAATGAAATGCTGGGTTTATGAAAGACAACAGAAAGGTTCACATCTCGATGGTCATCTTGAATATTTAACTGAGAAGTGTGGTTAATGACCAAATATTTCCTGTGTTATCAGTCTACTCCCCAATGGGTAGTCAAGGACGGCTCTTCCAGGACCTAGACTGAGACCACATCCTCCAACACCAAGACCAGAACTTCCAGACCACGACCAGGACCAAACCTACCGAGACCAAGATGAAGATGCTCCAAGAGCAAGACCAAATGTTTAGAGTTCAACTAATATTTTCTTTTTTAGGATACTGGGGATTTTTTGTACACCTCAAAATACAAAAATGAATGGTAAAACAGTAAATTATTCAAACAAAGCTATTTTTAAACTAATAATTATAACGATAACTAATATTTAAGTTATTAACTGCAGCCATGCATTGATGATACATAATCTGGGAGATGAAGCATCAAAAGGTCTTCCAGAGTCACACTGATCTGACAAACGTTGCTCAGTAGAATCTGATGCAGATAATAAAATGATCAGGATGGCCAACAACTGAGCTAATTTGGAAAGAAGTGAATGGATTCGAAAAGGCTGCATGAGGATCACGACAGAAACTGAGCCTCATGCTTTACGCATTCCTCAGGTGAATGCTGCAAGTTGTACATCCTGTTCCAATAGATCCACAAATCACAGAGCATGTCCTGTAAGCACACAGGCCCCTGGATCTAGGGACATCAACTTGTACGAAGAGGAAGAACAAATTGATCCACAATGGTTGCTTGGTTAGTGTGGAGATGATAAGTGCTGTAATGATCAGACAGAGTTAGTGCTTGGTAGCCTGGAGGGTTTGGTGCATTTTAATCAGAATCCTGGAAAGCAGCGGCAGAGGGTCCAGTGGGAGGGGAGTAGTGCACGGTCACAGCCAGATTTCCTGCTCTCCTCCAGCCCTCCAACTGTTTGTCTCTACACCAAATCCCCATAGCTTCTATATTTCAGTTAGTTCCATAAGTGCTCAAAAGCTTCCCTAAAGCAGTGGTCAACTCGGAGCTGAGTGTTTAGCCGAAGTCTGGACCAGTGTTCCTCTTCCTTCCGGACACCTGCTGACCGTGACAGTGTGTCGTTATTTGATGTTATTTTTATGTCTAGACCTGAACATGGCCTGTCAGCTTGGATCAAGTTGCCTGGACCTCAGCGTGACACCGTGGAGGATTAATGGCCCAGCAGCCGTTACCGGGTTGTACCAAGACAAGTCTCATACCCGTTCTCTCACTTTGCATCCCTTTCTTCTTCATGTCCAGACAGACTGCTAAAGCTTTGCAATCTGCTCTAGAGGAAGAAACGGGAAAAAAACACTGGCTGCCTGATAACAACAGCCAGTGAGTGTGAGAAAACCCCCATGGTCCATGTTTGATACATCACATGTCTGACAACTTGTCTATTGCAAGCTAAGGGTAAGTACTTGATTTATAGCACACTGCTTTAAGTTGTCTCTTTCCTCTCAGGGTACATGGGCTGGTGTGGGCTTTTTGCTGAATGTTGAAGTGACAGAGACAAAAAGGAAGAAAATGAAATGTCGGCAAAAACCCCTGTAGAACATGACTCCAGCACAGAGCAGGAGGAGCATGTGGAGACATAGCACCAAAACAAGAGCTACACGTCTCCACCACGGTGTCCAAGTCTCCTGCATACACACTGAAAGACACTGGTTTATAGGAGGACACTGGTGTTAGCACGGGTACTACCCTTTTCTGTCCTGTTTCTCATTATTTAGTGCATCTTCATGCACCTCAGTCTGAGCAGGCGTGTCATTCTTTACACCAAGAATGACACGGCTGTCTGGATGTCAAACTAACACACAAAAACAGGTAAAACCCAGAAATAGATTTCATTCTTGATGCCATATTTATAACTTACGATCAGGGAAAAGGAGCAGCTCAAGAACATGTTGTCCACACTGACATGAACAATTGGCTAAATTCTATTTTTCAGCTGCACTGTCGTCTGAATGCAAACACTTTTCATGAAAGATTTGGACTTTTCACACTAATAATGTTGAAACCCTGGGAGCACTTGACAACCTGGCAGAAACGGCGACGTTTTAGCAGGTATTTTTAGACTGCATCTCACCACTGAACCTGGGAGTTCTGAGAAAACAAAGAAACCTGTTGGTTAAAGAGAGAGATGCTCAAAATGACATCACTGCAACCTAAGTTTTACACATCGACGCTGGAAGTGTAAACTTGTAAGAGCACAGAATACACACCTTCCTACAATCACAGGTACATCTTCAGAAGATGTCTCGCAGAGCAAAGAAGTAACAAAAATGTTTATGGAGACAGCAATTATTCTCATTTTAGATTATTCTGATTTTAGATAGAAACAGAACTAATTGGGGCTGCTGCATAGTTTTTAGAAGCTACAGTGGACTCCCAGTATTTGTGGTGGCTAGGGAGCTCATTAGCTGTGCTCTCAACTGGCTGCTAACACCTGTTAGCATCTACAGTCATATTTTTCAGTCTTATTATAAGAAACAACGAGGGAAAAATAATCCATCCTGGTAAATATGCAGCCATAAGGAACAGAGTTTGGGATCACTCTGTAAATATCTACACTGCCCCCAAGAGACCTAACCATGCTTTATACTTACGTTAGCACGATGAACATGATTAATTAATTAATAATGAAATATCTAAACATTGCAACTGCAAAATGGTTATTTCCCATGAATACCAATTGACTACAAATGAGAATATATCACCAATCAACTGCTCAGTCAGCTCCAGTTTTGTGGGTCATTGACCCTTTGCACATGACATCACACATGTCTATAAAGTCCGGTTCACATGGGGAGGTGAGAATGCACAATCGGACTCTAGTGCGGACAACAAAAGGAAACTCTGGTCTGCCTAATATCGCATTTATTTAGTTGATTTTGTTGTAAAAATTGTCATAGGGTGCTGAGTGGTTGACAGCACAAAACAGACAAATGTGCAAATTAAACTTGTCATTTTATTGTAAACCTTTTGATGGACACAGAAGACGGCGATGGATAGCTCCATCAATCATTAGGACTGACAATTGGCATATTTATCAAATTGCAGTGAACACTTTTTACAAGGTAAGGAGATTCATTTTCAAATACTTCATAAATAAGTAAGATTAGTAAGATACAATTAAATATTGCATTATGGTGAAGGTACGCGACTAATCATTAGAAACCAAAGAGAAAATGCCCCACCATCATTTAGCTTACCCTGTAGGGAAAAAAGGTTAGCATCTAGACTTTTGTACACTTTTAAGTCCGCTCTGTTTTGAGAGGAAATGCTGTGAATTCAGGCAAATTTGATCAAATCAAAAACATGCCAGGAGGAAAGAGGTGTGGATAAGTTTCAAAGCTAGCTATTTCTAACTTTTGTAAATTTCGTTGTTTATTAGCCCCAGCTAGTTGTGCTACTTCCACAGACAAATTAGCTCGACTTGAACAAATAGAAGCCATAGCTACACGGTCAAAAACAACCTCGGAAAACAATCACAGTCACTTGGTTCAATACCGCTATCCCTCATTTCTGAAGTCCATCATGGTGCCTCAGCATGATTGACATTGTTGCAAAGTGTCAGTACATCCCCACAACAGCATGATCCTCCTAATAATCCTCAGTCTATTTCCAATAAAACACTGCAGCTCTCCTCATTGTTTACACTTTAGCAGAGAGCCATATGCTGCTGTGTGTACAACTGAGCACTTCCTCTCTCCATGCTGCCCATTGGTGACCTCAAGTGTCATACATACATTTATTTCACAAACTGTTAAGGAAGCGTCAAAATCCCTTTCATTTCTTGTGCCTAGTTGTGAGATAAAGCCTTTAAAGTTTGTGTTGAATATGAATCCAGCTACTAATCCAAAGAATAACTTTATTTCTAAATAGCTCATTAAAAAAACAACAAACAACGAAAAAAAATTGCTTAAAGTTGGTAGAAAATGATGAGTGAACATCTGGGAAGAGGTTCATCGCAGGCCATTCCGACATGATCACCAACAAACCCTCACATTTATAACCTCCTGTGAACAAACATTTGGATCTTTGCAGAAGAATGCTATGAAGTTAATGCTAACAGACAGCTTCCTTTATAACAAAGCACTCAACCACACACTGGGTCTGAATATACCCAGCACAAAAAAAACATGCAAATCAATTCATATTCATGCATTTCCACATCCACAAAGTACTGAACTGAATTATTTCCTCCTAGAAAAAGAATATTCCCAGAAGGCAACTGAACGCTCTCCTTCACAGAGAGGCGCTGCAGTTACAAATAAATCCCCCTGAATGGCTCTGAAGACAAGAACAGAAGTGCATATCAAAGAAAACAACCCTCCTATGTGAACCCAGGCCGGGTCCCTGTTAGGAATTCAGGACCTTTAGATGGACCCAGACTGAGTTGTCCTTCATTATATGCTTGCAATTATTTCTAACCTAGCTAACTTGTAAGAAACATGAAGTATGTCATCATGTGAACCTTTTGTTAAGTAAAGCAGGTCCAGACTTGGACTTGAACTGCACCCAAGTCACAAAAACAAACACTAGGGACTTGACTTTTACTTTGCTGGAGATCAGAATCTCATGTAATCAGGAGTGAAAGGTACAAATCAGTAGGGGCACACTGGTTTGTTTTGGTGCTTATTGTCCTCCTGTGTTCACAGAAACAACAACATTCAGTGCCACAAAACAGACCTAGAATGAGAAAAAATGTCTTGTGAACATCTGTGCTATGATGCAGAGATGACCTCCGGTTCATGTGACCAGCTGGCTGCAGGGTTTAAAAGCACACACACAATTGTTTCTGTAGCAAATACTCTAAAACAAGTTCTCCTGATATCTGTTAGAAAGGAATAATGAAAGGGAGATGTCTGAACACACACTTCCTGTGTAGAGCTTCATGACAGACCTGCAGCACCTTGACCAGAGGTCACATGGAGGTGAACATTCGGTCGGGTTGATCGGTGATTTCTGAATGCCAGGTGGCAGCAAACATCAGCCAGACGTCTGGAGAGGAACCTTCCTGACGCCTCCCATCGGACCCATCTGACTGCAGCAACACCACCACCACTTTTCTTAAAGGGGTAGTATTATGTATTTTCCAGCCAAATAAAATAATTTCATAGCACAATCAAGTAACAATGTTAACTCCAGTTGTTATAAAAATGCTATATATATATGAAATGTGATTTAAAAAAAATTAAACTTCATATTTCAATGCCTTGAAATTGGGTCTGTGTCTCTTTAAAAAATCCTGCTCTTTCTGAAACTCTGCCATCAATACGTCATCACAACATGGTTCCTCTACTGACTCTTTAATAATATTTTTTACCAGCGTTCCACTGAGAAGTAGCTCCTATAAGAGCTCAGCTAATGCGTCGTTCCACCAGGTGTTGCTAATTGCTGCTGGCTAGTCTGAAGGAGATGAGTGGAGGAGTCATGGAGGAGGGCTGTTCTGACAGGCAGAATCAGAAACTGCAGCTCTGAGGAGAAGCTATGTCCTCAAATGTCCACCAGGGAGTTTTCCACAGCCAAATGGTTGCCATGGAGATTAAAGGATTTCTCAAACATACATGAAAGAATCAAAGCAACACTCCAGGTGTTATAATGAAATATATTGTAATATTCTACCAAATATGGTGTCCAGGCAGTTGTTTGCAATCATTGACTAATACTGGATTGACTTTTGTGATTCAGTACATTGTTCAGTTGTAATATGAATGCAAATGATGTTTGCTTTTGATGCTTACTGACTGGAGGTCAGCTGTTTGTACCTTCACTTCTAAAAGTGAAAGTACAAACTGCAGGGCTGTGTATAAACGATGCACACAAAAATAGAAAATATTCCTTCTTTCCATCTACATTTATTGGCAGCTCTGGTAAAGATGTGGATAAGCTATTTTTCTACATAATCATCCAGAAACACCCAGAGAACTAAATTTGAGTCTCAGTTCCGGCTGAGGTTAGAAGCTCCACATGCCTACGTTTGTGATGGTAGGAAAGAAAAATATTTTTCCCAGGCATCACACCACAGAAACCAGATGGCATGTAGATGGAGCCTAATGGTTGTCATGGAGATGTGATGAACCCAAGACGCCTTTTTTTTTTGCTGCAGGTCTCCAGCAGAGAGCTTTAAACCGGTTTTTCCCTGCCTGATCATCCCATCCCCCTCACGGTGTGCAGGGGGAGATAAACATGGATCCTCTAATGGGACTGTCCCGGTGTGCGAGTAAATAAAAAAAAAAAAAAATCTTTTTAACTTTCTTTCTGAACACAGTACTATTTTTAAACGTGTTTTAGACCAGATTGCAAAGAGTTAACAATAAAGTGCCTAGAACTGTTTATATAAATTCAAAGTGTTCAGCTTTTACTTGCATTTTTTCATTCATATTTGACACTAACTACCATGACAGCCAGCAGCTGGACCCGCTTCGGTTCTAAACATGCTACACTGAAGCATCCAGCTGTGTGTCTGCTGCAGCTCTTACCTGCAGTCCCACTAACAGTCCCAGTCCCAGAGACGGCGTTGCCTGTGCGGCTCTGTGAGGACAGTCCGGAGGTTAGCTCATTCAGGCACCATCAGCTCGCCAGTCCGGAGCCCCAATCCGGAGACAGGAGAACCCCGGAGGAAACAGAGGACACGGAGAAAACACCGGCTTGTTCAGTTACAGAGAACCCGCACCCCCACCTCACCGTGTCTGGCTATGGTCCCGGCCGGCCGGGCTGTCAGGGGGACAGAGAGGGAAACAGAGACAGAACCACGGGCAGTGGAGCCGCTCGGAGGAGAGAGAGGAGTCTGACTGCAGACTCTAGCGGAGCTCCGCAGGAAGCGGAAGTAGCTCCGCTGGAGCGGGTGGGCCTTTTTTTTCCTCCCTCTTTTTAATTATCTGTCAGAAACAGCAGCCAGTATTCACAATTATGTGACCTGTTTACTGAATTTACAAATGTTAATAAAAACTACATATAAATCACTAGATATACAAATATAAGTGTCTCATTATTATTGCTTTAGCGCCCTCTTCTGCTTGGGCGTCAAAACATGTGACAGGTGATGCCGCTGATATCTGAAATGAGACGGTTACTTAATTCAGTGTAGTTTTAATATA